AGTGTACTGGAGGCCGGATAAGTTTTCTTTACTTTTAAAAGGGGTTTGGGGGCTTTGGGGGAGGTGGGTGGGTATTTCAAGTTTTCTGGACTAATTTAGTCCTGAGAACTGTGGGAATTGTGTCTGGACTGCAGTCCAGACACCAGAAATAGTGGGTTTATCCCGTGTGTTCCAAGAAGGCACGGAATAAATCCACTATCTAATTAATTTTCTACAAACCAGAGTTTTCCTGGTTTGTAGTTAATTAATTCAGGATTGTCCAGGAGGTCATCTGGACAGCCCCTTCTTTATTGTGGGAATTACCACAATAAATGGGATGTCTGGATGCATCTTTTGAGTTACCACACTGGATGGCCCCTGCCCTATTGATGATATGCTATTACAATCCACCTTAAGTCTTCTTCAGTATTGGTTGTAATGGAAACCCAAGTTTATCCTGGTATATGACACCAGGAGAGGAAAATATTTATTTCATGCCCCCAGCGTATGCATGAGTGAAAGCAAAGTCCATACTTTTGTTCTCAAAATCTGTCCTCAACTTCTATATTGAAAGGGGGATGCAGGTATTATGCAATGAAAAAAAATCAAGTTAAGTGAAACTTCATTGCTCCAAGGGGATAGGTGTGCAGATGAGCGAATGAAGGGTGTGACTACTATGCAAGGAACAGTAAAATACCAATTTTGCCACCCACAAAATGGGGGTATGACTATTATATGGTGGGAACTATTAGGTGGGGATATATGGTATATACAGTAGGTATGTATATGTCCCTCCTAAATATCTCAGTATTTTGAGCTTCTGCTACTAGCAGAAAATAGCATAGGCTTGGAACAACTACTGAGGAAAGTTAAAGAGGAAAAAAAGGGGCAAAAACAGGATTATAGGTGTTAAAAATGATTTTACTCTTCATTGTTTTGTTTTCAAAACTTAGCTTCTCTGTCCATCCACTTCTTCGCCCAAATTTGGCACAAACTGCATCAGACAGTCTCATCATCGGGTATATCATTAAATTCTGGAGGTCCAACCTGGCTGGACAGATTTGAAAATGAGGTTTATTGGACCATTGTTGGCACAGGTTCTGTTTCCAGTGTGTGCAAGAGTGGTCCAGAACCAAAGGAGAATGCCCTCAGTGCAAGCAGCCATTTTTCACAGTAAGAAGTCTGAAAATGACTTTGAGGCCTCTACAGCAAAGCCCCCAGGAGCAAACTCCTTTGCCAATCCTGGTGGAAGGAGATTCCATTGTTGCACTGTATGAACAAGGCAATGTTGCCCTTCTGGTTGTTGTTGTTGCAGGGATCCTATCTGCCTTGATAGACCACTTCAGTGGTTGAAGCCTAAGCAAAGTGTCCTGTTTGGCGCTCATGGATCTCTAGTCCATATGGTACAATTGCATCGTGGGAAATCTCCACTCTAGGAGGACAACCTCTTTTCCTGATGACGAGATCTTGTTTGAAGGTATGTAAGGTCAGGTAACTGGAGGAAGAGATGCAGAAATAAATCAGATGATCAGATGGTTTCATCTCTGGCCATAAACCAACTGGGAGGGTAAATCCAGGCGTCAAATTCAGGAACAGGAAATTAGTATTAGCTTTCATAATTCTGGTTCATGCTTTTGAAGCAATGAAGATGGGGAGGCATTATCAGATGCTTTTGGTTGTTGTTGCAGGAATGCTCTCTGCCTCCATAGACCATTTCAGTGGTTGAAGCTTGAGCAAACCGTCCTGTTTGGAGCTCATGGATCTTGTCTAGTCCATTGCATTGTGGGAAATCCCCACTCTAGGAGGACGACCTCTCCTCCTGCTGACAAAATCTTGTTTGAAGGCATGTAAGGTCGGGCAACTGGAGGAAGAGATGCAGAACTAAATCAGATGATCAGGCGGCTTCAGCTGTGGCCATAAACCAACTGGGAAGGCAAATCCAGGCGTCACATTCAGGAACAGGAAACTCATATTAGCTTCTGCAATTGTGGTTCATGCTTTTGAAGCAATGAAGATGGGGAGGCATTGTTAGATGCTTTTGGTTGTTGTTGTTGCAGGAATCTTCTCTGGCTCTATAGACCACGTCAGTGGTTGAAGCATGAGCAAACAGTCCTGTTTGGCGCTCATGGGTCTCTAGTCCGTATGGCACAATAACATCATGAGTAATGTCACCAGGTGTGACCTAGAGAGCCAGGCATTGGCTGATGACCTCAAGCCCTTCTTGTGCTTTCTTATATGAATTTGACAACTTTGGCAGATGTCCTTTTAACATAGATGCATGCCATCAACATGGAAAATTATGACTGTCCTGCTCCATCGTACGAAGAAGGAAGCCATCATCATCATTTTTTCAAAGGAGGCTGATTCCTTGGAAGCAGAATATAACTCCTTCACAGTTGGAACTGACCAAGCGCTTCAGGGTCATGAAACCCCTGACCCATTTTACATCCTCCGGCTCGGGCCAGGTTTGTCTCACCCTGTCCATGCTGAAAAGGCAGATAAATGGATCTGAGAGGAAACCAAGCCCAATCTCGCCACAGAAAACAAAATGATCTAACTGAGGCCATGTCTTGAGATGACACAACTCACTAAGAAAGACAACTATTGTCGGTAAGGAACAAGAGAATAGGAAAAGAGGGAGGCCACATTGTGGTGGATAGACTCCACCAAGGAAGCCATATCCCTAAATTTGCAGGACTGTTGATGACAGTTAATGGAGGTCTCGTGTTCATAGGGTCGCCATAAGTTGAAGCTGGCTTGACAGCAATGAATGTCCATAAATGCACCCTTGTTAGTAGTTTTAATTGCTCTTGGCCTCACATTGGTTACTCCCAAACAAAGGTTGGAAAAGCTGAGAGTAATGAACGTTCATTTTAGAAAGCAACTGATTTTGACTAGCAAGCTCTCAGCTGGAGCTACAGTTTGGCAGTTGCAGACAGTTAGGAATTTGAAAACTGTCAGTTGGTGAGGTCAGTTGCCTGGCTCCCTCTAGTGATCAAAACAGTGCTTTGCATCCTACAAGGTTCCATCTCAATCAATTTCTACACACTTGTGGCACATATTAGGTGTCCTTTTACTATACACTAGCCATCCCCTGCCATGCGTTGCTGTGGCCCAATCCATGTATATGTGTTCTCTGTGTGTATATATTTGTGTTTATATGTATATATGTGGTTTTTGTGCATGTGTTGTAATGTGTTTTTTTTGCTTTTTAATTCTCTTCCACTGTTTTTCAGTGCTTTTATGAGTGGTGTTCACTCATTGGCCTGATAGGTATATTGTGTCCAAATTTAGTGTCAATTCACCCAGTGGTTTTTGAGTTATGTTAATCCCACAAACAAACATTACATTTTTATTTATATAGACTGGCCATCCCGACACGCGTTACTGTGGCCCAAACTGTGTATATGTGTTTTGTGTGTGTATATATTTGTGTATATGTGTATATATGTGGTTTTGTGCATGTGTTGTAATGTATTTTTTTTGCTTTTAAAGTCTCTTCCACTGTGTTTTTATGAGTGATGGTCACTCGCTGGCCTGATACACGTATTGTGTTCAAATTTTGTGTCAATTCACCCAGTGTTTTTTGAGTTATGTTAATCCCACAAATGAACATTACATTTTTATTTATTTAGATTGGAACAGGCACACAGGTTTTAGATCAGAAGTGAACAACCTGATGCCTTTCAAGTATCTTGGGCTTCAGTCTCCGTCATTCTCAACCATTGGCAAAAACTAGCTGGGGCTGATGGGAATTGGTAGTCCAAAGTCAGACAATCTTTCTCTGGTTGAGCCATGGTGGTGAAATGGGGTAAACCCTTGTGCTGGTGAGCTCCCGTCTGTCAGCTCTAGCTTGTGGGCACATGAGAGAAGCCGCCCAGCAGGATGGTAACACATCCAAGCAACGTCTCTGCAGATAGCCAATTTTCTCACTTCAGAAGCAACTTGCAATATGTTTTCAAGTCACATCTGACACAATAGAGTTTGAGAGCAAACCCCTCAAGAATGCTGAATTATATTAATAAATGTGAGAGACTAGTTTAGGCTATGATGGGACTTGTGCCATCTTCCAGATGTCAAACTATAACTCCTAGTCACCCAATCTAGCACAGCCAATGGTGGAGAACGCTGAGACTTGCAGTTCACTAACATTTGATGAACCACACTTCTCTTAGTACAATTTGAGACATATAGCTCTGGTTGTTTGGAAGTGTCCCCACATTATGCTACTGCTGGTACTCAAGCCTCTAAAATTGTATCAAGTCAAGCCTTTAAGAGAGACCAAGGTGCATCTCCAATGTGGAATTAATAAAGTTTGGCACCACTTTAACTGCTGTTACTCAATGCTATGAATTATATATAAGTTACAGTTTTACAAAATTATGAGGCACCAGCACTGTTTGGCAGAGAAGGCTAAAAACTTTGTCAAACTAAAACACCTGTGATTCCATAGCACAGCCATGGCAGTTAAAGGAGTGTCAAACTGCATTAATTCAACAGTGTGGATGCCCCTTTGAGGACAGGAGACCTAAATCCAGGTTCCTGGCTGAGGAAAGAAGCAGAGGAAGTCACACCTTCTCATGACACCCAAACGACACCAGTCAAAGTTAGGAATACTACAGTTTTATTCTATAAACTGTTAGAAGTAGATTTACACAGCTATCAGTTGCTACATGGCACCCATTCTTGGCACTGCAGCACTGAGTAATGCTCAGTTTCATTCTCCACAGTATTAGTAAGGCAGGCATATTTCCACTAAGGCATGCAGGCTGGATCTTATTCCATTCCGTATTTTTCTTGTAGTTCTTTTACTTTTTCTATGTATGCTTTCATTGCATCTTCTTTAGACATCCCTGGAAGAAAAAGAAAAAAAAAGAGAAATTAGCCAGGCATATGGTGGTTTAAGGCACATTCATGGGTCACTTCACACTGCAATTATAGTGCAACGATTCCACGTTAGCTGCCACGACAACTTCCTGTGGAACCCTGGGATTGGCAGCTGCGGGGGTGGAGCCTTTAGGATGCTCAGCCAGAGAGCAACCCTTGTGCCTCTGCTCAAACTACAAATCCCAGAATTCCATTTGAGACAGCAACCCATATGAGTTAAGAGGGAAGCAAAGGTCTGTAACTGTGCCTTGTGAAAGGGCTCCATGCCTTACAACAGCAGATTATTTGGGAGTTTGCTCAAGCAATGGCTCCTCTGTAATGAATTATAACAAGAGACCAGGGTCTCATCCTTTCCACTTCTAGGTTTCATCAGGAGTCCAATGTGATGAGGCTAAGTGAGGACTACAGCTCACCTTCATGTCTTATGATGTATCCAGTGAAGTGACAGAGGAGAAAAAGCAAGCCTCATTGTACTAGGGATTGGCCATTAACGCAATTTGTTTTAGGTTACTTCACTACTACTTTTTAAGAATTACCTTATACCAATAGGAAAGATTATGGTTTGACGCTTGTATTTCTCTAACAGATAAACTTTTTGTCAACAGGAAAGCAGCAGAACTACCAATACAAGTGTAGATAGCTACATTGGGAGCAGTAAACTTACTTATTATAATTTTAGATAGTACACAGAATAATTACTCATAGAGATCTTCCTCCATGTGCAAAGGTAAAGTGCTTCCATGCTAGCAGCACACATCCTACCAAGGCTACTCTCAATTTCCTTCTACAGGCAGTCTGAGGGGTTGTTTGATATGTTATGACTGTCCATTGCTGTCTTTGGTCACATCTGTGAATTTATTAGGTTTCCCCCCACAAATCTTACCTTTTAACTTATTCCAGGCATCCCACTTGGCTTTGCCCTTAAAATCAAGCATTCCAGGACGTTCTGAAAGACAATGAACAGACACATTGTGATTCTTCCATCAGGATTGGGGAACAGCTTTGGATGGAGTGTTCATGTTAGAAGAGTCAAAGCACTTGGTTTTTGGAGGGTTTCAGATTTCTAGATAAGAGAAGCTCAACCTGTATTCTGTCTGGGCAGTCAATAAGCCCAGATTTGACAAGCCAAAACAAGATTGTCACTTGACAACTTAAATTTTACATCAGGTAAAGTAATCCCAAACCATCTGAAAGAAATCATATATAATCTGTGTCTATGGCTTGAAAATATTGTAAAAATGTCAACAGGCAAACTTTAATATTACCATTGTATATAAGTGACACCACTTTACTATGCCACTGTATATCATGTAACTTGAACATGTTATTAATGGAGGATCCTGGAACTAAATCCACTGTATCTTTTTCCTGCATTGTTCCATTTAAAAATTAAAACATAGGAAGAAGTCACAGGTCCCTAGCTGTACACACATCCAAAGGCATATGGGGCCTGTTTTACCGAGCACACTTCTACATCAGTAGTTTCTAAACTCTGGTTCTCCAGATGCTTTTGGTCTTTATCCCCTGGAATTTCTGACTGTTGGCCAAGCTTGGAGTTCAGTTCCGAAACATCTGGTGGAGCAAAGTTTGGAGACTGAAGTTGTTCAAACGCCTACTCAGAAGACATTCCAATTACTCCATCTTTGTTGAATTTTTCACTTTCTTAGGAAATACAGATGGAAGCAGCAGTAGAAAACATGGGTGGTGTACTAGTTCCATGAATGAGCCAAGACAAAGGGAAAATAAAAATAAAGAAAAAAGACACAAAATGATTAAAACTTTTCAGAAGCAAAACTAGTTGTTACAGGTGCTGCTTCTTGGTGACATACTGTTTTATGCAGATAGTCGTTGCTCATCATGGCTGTCCCCAAACTGACTGCACTTCTGGGACTGTCATGAAACAGTATTCTAAGGTTCTCTGCTTCTAGAGCAGTGGTTCCCACCTGTGGGTCCCCAGATGTTTTGGCCTTTAACTCCCAGAAATGCTAACAGCTGGTAAACTGGCTGGGATTTCTGGGAGTTGTAGGCCAAAACACCAGGAGACCCACAGGTTGAGAACCACAGTTTTAGAGCAAGGGATGGGTAGATCATATGAAGGAAAAACTTGGCATGAAGCAGATTGACTCTAGCATTCTTTACCATTGGTTATGCCGACTGAGGCTCCTGGATTTGCAGTCCATCAAAGTCTTACATGATTCCCATCTCTAGCTATCCAATAAGAATGGATTGTGTATAAAAGAGAAGGGATGGAGAAACTTTGGTCTCTTTTATGTTTTAGACTTTGCCTCCCAGAAGTCCCAACCAGTATGCTATGCAAACTATTCAGTTGGCCAAAGTCTTCCCACTCGCACTAAAGTGACTGAACTTTGAGGCGACACCTTCCAGTCTGGCTCTAGGCTAGCAGTTTGCACCCCTTGCTTCTAGCATCTCTTCCCCTGGCATGCTGCTAAATTTGAACTTGTGTGTGTTTGTTTCAATATTTGGTCTTCCTGGCTCATCAGAAGAACAAAGGATTGGGTCTTCCACAACAACTTAGGAGAAAGGTTAGGATTTTTTTTAAAAAATCCCCTTTTGATCAATGCCTATGTTTTGGAATACAGAGTAAGAACTATGCATGTCGAACATGAACATTTCAGAATTCAATTATGTGCAAGGTAGTTCTTTTAACTCCTTCCCTAGGTTATAAAAGTACTCCAGGCTGCTTGTACTAAAGTGTCCCTGACCTTTAGTTCTATTTGGCAGTGTCATCTTGGAGAAAAGCTCAGCAAGTGTCCCTTATTCTCCACTGCAGATGGCCTTCAGCACAGTTGCCAGGAGTTCCAGATTTCCCCCCTCCCCCAGCACACCCAACAGTAGCAGTATTGTTGCAAAGCTATTGGAGGGGAGCATTATTATTTGGTAACAGTGTATTAAATCTTTTCTTTTTGCTTGAATACAAAAAAGTTATAAAGACCAAAAATGTACTTAGGCTGCATCTACACTGTAGAAAGAATGCAGTTTGACACAACTTTAATTTCCATGGCTCAATGCTCTGGAATCCAATGAATTGTAGTATTTAGACATCTCTGCCAAAGCATGATAAACTACAGCTCCCAGGATCTCATAACATTAAGCCATGGAAGTTAAAGTGGTGCCAAACCATATTTGTTCTATAGTCTAGGTGCACCTTTAGATTTTCCTTCTTGTTTTATGCAGGAGAGCCGAGTTTTAGAGCCCTTTTACACTACAAAACTATAACCCCCTGACTCTACTCTAACTTATCTGTATCATATAGAATCCCAGATTTGTAATTTGGTCAGAGGTGCTAGAGGAGCTCTCTAACTGGGATTGCAAAACAGCCCCACCCCCCTAAACTAGATTCCAGGATTCCATGGGAAGTTGCCATGGGAGTTCAAATGGAACTATACAACTGCAATAATATAATGTGAAAACATCCTTAGGAAACTTGAGGACAGAGCTGTTGTCTGATAGCTGGAGCTTTAAGTAGGCTAGTAGGTCAGGGTGGTGATTGGCACCATTTCAGAGTCAATGAGGAGGATTGCCTTTGAGGTAGTACTTAGCATACAAGAGTTGTGTTCATGTAATTTGAGCACCAAGATAATGCTGGTAGTTTCATTTCAACATAGCACATTGTACTACAAGTCTTTTTTTTCTCTCAAAAAGTAAATTGCAGTGTCTTTCTATACATATGATCATGAAACACATCAGATTTACTTTAGCAATTTCTACAAGGAATATCCTCCTACCTACAGCACTACCTATGGTGACATGCAGACTGTGGTAGCAATTAATCACTAATTGGATGTAGTACTGGAAAAGGTAGAGGTTCTTTCCATTTTCTGTTGAGATGTCTGAAAGATAACCTCCTTAAAAACATAAAACCCAAACATATTCAAGACTAAACTAAAGTGCACAGACACTGGTGCCTTAGAGTGCTAGTAGCAATGGAAAGCAAACCGATACTTTCTGCAGTCATTTTCTGAACACTCATTTCATTTGGTAGTGTACTAATGTGGTAATACACCCATAGAAGATGTGTTAAATTGTTGCAAAATCATGGGCAAGAGACATGCCTAAGCAGGAGTAAGAACTGCCTTAAGGCTTCAAATGCAGCAACTCGAAACAACAGAGGCAGGTGCCATTACAATGCAATCCATATTGTTACTCAGTCCTGGGGAACGATCTTTCCTCTGCAGTATATTAAATTTTAGCACTGCTGTGTTTCAAACACTTTTCAGTTTGGATTTTCCACAACCATCAGATATATTCTGACTTCCACATATGCTTCCCAGTTACGATGGATAGTTTAGGTATGAGACAGATTGTCCCATAATCAGTATTTTTTAGCTGTGTCAAATGTTTATACAAGTTGCCTCAAGTCTTTTGACAGCCAATTTGACTAGAGCCATTAATTAGGCAATTCCCGGAACTACTGGTTTGGTTGAATTACCTCATTTAGAATGTGGAATATTTCCAAAGATGATGCATGTGTCATCCCATTAGACTTTATTGCAGAACATTTCTACAAAATCTAGTGCAAAATCCACACCTGAGGTCCATCACATTCACTTTGTCTTATATGATCAATTCTAAGGGAGTTTCGAGGAATGTCCTTCAGCCAGAAGAAAATAAACTACTAGTTGATCAGATTTTTACTTTCTCTACATACTCAGAGTGGGGCAGGCAAAGAGGAAAGGAAACTTAGTGAGTAGAAGTCTATTCATAAATCAGAAATGAGAAATATGAGAAAGAACTAGTGAATGTCCCAGCAACAGGGAATTGAAGCAAGACCAAAGTATCTTAATAATAACCAGTCCACACAACAATCTTTGTATATTGCAGGTGTACTGAAGCATGTTCTCATCCCATGAAGCCAGAATGCATTGTGACTTTATGCGACATGTCCATGCAAGGTGAAGACACTTCTGCTGCTCTTGTGAGAGGAAGCAGATCTTGCAGGTAGATCATAAACAGCAGCTGCACGGTATAAATAAGTGGCTTTCTAGCAAACAAGGAGCTTGGAGACAGGGAGTCAAGTTGACCTTGCTGCAAATGCTTGGGAAATTTAAAGAGTTCTAGACTGATTCAATATTGACAGTTGTCCAGTATTTAATTTAGTATCACTAAATATCTCTAAAGCATAATGTGGGTTTCATGGGATTGTTGCCTATCTAAGGAGACTGAAATAAAATATGTTGGGACATATTTACAGTTCTGGCAACAATTTTGAGAAGCAGAGTGATTGAAAGCCTTCAGAGGCATGACTATTAGGGCTGGGCAACCACGGAAAAATTTGTTTCTAAACTCGATTCGTTTTTAGGGGTTTTTTGCGTTTCGATTTTTAAAAGAATTCCGAAATTTTCCTTAAAAAAAATTCGATATTTACGAAATTTCGTAAATTACGAATCAATTACGAATCGATTTCGAAACAATTACGAATCGATTCGTTAATGGCGGGCGCGATCGCGCAATACGCTAAAAAAACCTCCAAATGGGACAGGAAGCTTCCCTCTCCCTCTGTTGTTGACTGTTGGTGTGATAATTTATTTTTTTTCACTGAGAAAACAAACAGCAACCCTAAAACTTGCACCAGACATGCGGAAATAATAACGAAACGATTTCGAATCAATTACGAATCGATTTCGAAACAATTACGAAACAATTACGAAACGAATTGAAAAAATTCATTTCGTTTTTTAGTTGCTCCTGAATGGTTCAATATCGCTTCGTTATCCAAAAAAAACAAAACAAAAAAAAAACGAATTAATAACGAATTACGAAATTAACGAACGAAATCGCCCAGCCCTAATGACTAAGTATTTCTTTGTCAGCACTTACAACTGACTGCATGGGCGATCAGTTAACTCATACCTGTATTTACATCTCCAACAGTTGCCTGCTTGTAATGACTGTAAATAAACAACATTTCTTCATCTATTGGTTGGGTCTTCAGCTTCTTAACTTCTTCTGCAGCTTTATCAAACTCTGCCTGTTGAAACAAATGTATTTATTAAAAATGTGATGTTGAAAGACACACATTGCTTTATCAGTTACAGCACTCTCTTATGTCCATTTATTTGTAAAGAAGTCTGTTGAGACTGACTCAGCTGGGCAAAAGTCATAGAGAATAGAAGTTTGAATACCATTCAGTGGGTAGGAGTGTTGTGAAACCAGACATTTCCCAATCACTTGGCAAGAAAGATGCTTCCATAAGAGTTGTGAGGGCTGCCTCACATGTCACACAATGTCTCTGGAGTAATTCGCTTAAGTCACACCCATTGACAGATTTTTCAAAGACCACGTGCAGTTAGATCTCAACTAAGAAAAGTTATTTTGGAATACAACTTCTAGAATCCTCACAGCAAATATAGCCAATTGGGTTGTTGTAAGCTTTGGGCTATATGGCCATGTTCTAGAGGCATTCTCTCCTGACATTCCGCCTGCATCTATGGCAAGCATAGGTCCTCACTACCTCTGAGGATGCTTGCCATAGATGCAGGCGAAACGTCAGGAGAGAATGTCTCTAGAACATGGCTATATAGCCTGAAAATACCTACAACAACCCAGTGATTCTGGTCATGAAAGCCTTCAACAATACAATATAGCCAATTGCTTTTGAGTGGACATGCTGCCTCAATGAATTGTGGGAGCCATGTTCCAAAAAGTAACTTTTTCAAGAATTGTGCTAGACTCCACAGAATCAAAACTGTTTAAGGAAAGGAATCCTGGTGCCCACAAGTCAACACTGTTTCCCATACAGTACACATTTTATTTTATCTCAATACTTGTAGTGACCACGTTGCACGTGTTGAGTAATGTGTATGGACTTCTTCCATGCTCAACCCCGGAAGCTGAGAGGGAAACAAAGATTTAATCATGAACCCTGTCAGAGCAATCATTTCAGGAAATTCTGAGCTCAGCTAAACACTGTGAATGCTTGTTACAACAGCACTAGTGTTTTCAGATTTAAAAATTCTTACACACAGGATGGCACTTTAAATATTATGGTGCAAGGGATTTGTACTTTGGTGAGGAACCAGCACTCTTTGACAGAGTGTACTAAAGACATTGTAAAACTACAACTCCCAGGATTTGACTGCACTGAGTCATGGCATTTAAAGTGATGTCAAAATACATTACTTCTACATTGTAGATGAACCCTGGTTGTACTTCCTGCTAAAAGTCTGGCTCTTGGCAAAAGGTTTTACCCAGTTTAGTATTCTGACGAGATGTATCAGACAATGGTAGCTGCTAACAGAAAAACACTCATGTCTTCCATTTTCATTAAGTGTATCACTTCAACACTGAATTCCATGGGGGCAGCTATGTCAGTTTGTTACTTGGTGAACAGGGAGTCTCACAACTCCATGAGACAACAGGCTAAAGCATAAGCTTTGGAAACTGCAGCCTACAGGCATCAGATGAAACGGTCTGTAGCCTGCACAAACCTATGCCAAACAAAAGCTCTTAAACCTCCCAATATGCCTGGGACCGGTACCATGCTTCTGCCCTTTGGCTACAACTGCTTCTTTCATTCATTTCTGGGAACTTGCCACAGACCAGAAATGAAAGGGGAAAAAAAAAAACAGTTGCAGCCAACATGGGAAGAAACCCTGCAAGTACTGTGTATCCAACAGCTGAAGAATCAGGACACCTTTTTAACACAGTTGACCTGCTTTAACCATTGAGCATCCTTTATCTGCAATTCCAGACTTTAAAATCCTCCACAAATCTCCATGTTGGTGGCTGAGACAATGACACCTTTGCTTTCTAATGATTCGAGGTGCACAAAATTGGTTTCAAGCAGATATTTAAAAACGGGTGGATGTGTGTTCAAAAATAGTTCTGGTCCCATTCTTTTGGATAAGGTATACTTGACCTATAAATGAATAAGCTGTGCAACAAATTCAAGTGAGAAGTAAAGACTTCATGATGGAAAGATAAATCTGACAGCATTTTATTCTCCTCTTCTGTGGGTGGAAAGGAGAGCAGAGGGACTAGCTCAGCCTAGAAATCATTAACTGCACAAAATGGAAGGCTTTGGAAACGAAACTTCAGTGCCACATGAAACTGCCTTGAAAAACCAGGGAAACTCCCCCAGCAAAGCAGTTCCTTCATTCAATACCAACTTTGGTTTTTTTCTCTTGAGGAAAGCATTAGAAGCCCCCCCCCCCCCTTAGGACTTACCTGGGTTGGAGTAGTACCTGGAGGGGATTGAAATAGCTACACTCTCCCCTCTCTCCTTTATATCTTTTACTATATTTTTGCTGGTTTGTATTATTTTTCTTTTACTCTCTGCGATGATGTAATCTATCTGTATTACTTCCAATATAATGCAATACAATATATAGAGATGTGTGTATCTCTCTCTATATATATCTGTACAACTTTGATTGAAACTTATCTCCAAGTTGTACATATATATTTTTATATTGTAAGTTGTACATTATATAAACACACACACATTTGTACAAGTTGCAATATATAAATGTCTTGAAAGTTGTACAGATAGATTAAAACATAGGTTTGAAATAATCACATGTTTCACATAACCGGCCAAAGGAGGCATGGAAATCATTTTCTTCCTTTCTCCTTTATATATTTTATATACCGCCTTGAGTCGCCTGAGGGCTGAGAAGGGCGGTATACAAATACAGTAAATAAATAAATATCTTAAACAATCAGGGCCAGCTAACACATCCTGACAAAGGATTCCCCCCCCCAGCAGGAAGCAGCCAGGCTTTGAAGCTGCAAGGACATTCAATGCCAATCAAGGTAGCCAATTGCAACATTCACATTTGCCTCCAACAGGCAAGAGTTCTTTCTCCTACTCTGGACATTCCACAGATATATAAATCTCACCTGCCAAGTTTCCAACAGACCTCACAACCTCTATAGATGCCTTCCATAGATAAGGGCAAAACGTCAGGAGAGAATGCTTCTGCAACATGGCCATACAGCCCGAAAAACTCACGGCAACTCATTTTCTATTTTGTTTCTTGCTGGTTTGTATTGTATATATTGCAAGTTATATAGACAGATTTAAACATCACATAGAGAAAACGAATACAAAACAGCAAACATATAATATAAATATGCAGGCATATATGGTAAATACATTTACTGAACTATATTTTTAATGGACTTACTTGGCTCATGATGGCAATGCAACTTGGTGCCTTTCCACTCAAACTCTGCTAGCGCGACTACTCCCTTCTGCACCACCTTTGGCAAAGCACTCTTTCACACATCAGCCCAGCCCCCGGCGACCAATCACAGGCGGGAGGCGGAGCCTCGCCCTGGCCCTTCATTCTATGCCGCTTCGAAGAAGGAAGAGACCCACGCAGCTCAAGCCATAGAGATAAGCATGCCTAAAAAGTGGAAGAGTGCATCATTTCCGCTTCTAGAGTGTAGTTCGTGGACTTCTTTTGCAAAAGATTGAAGGTGTAGAGAACATATATGCAGAAGTGATTCCTATAAACGGCCATACTTCAGAAATACGATGCCACTTATTCAGACGACAAGTAAACGGGCGATGTAGGATTTCGGACTGAAAATAGATTTCAAAGAGTGTGTGTATCCATACATCCATATAGATATAAGTCTATCTATCTGTAGAGATATGTTCCAAAAGTCTCCATATTTAGGAAAAAGTAAACATATTTTATATTGTATTGTTAATTTTTAATATGTTTACATTTATTTATGTATTTTATACATTTTAATTGTAATTCATAAATGCGTTTAGCTACAATTTCCCATTTTCCCAAAGTATGTTGACATTTGGAACACTATATATATGGTGTTCCAAATGTCGCCAGAAAGCAAGAGTACATATATATGTATATGTGTATGTGTATATACACACACATATACATACAGATGTGCTCTTGTTTTCTGGTTTAGATATATAAAGATCATATAATGACTTGTACGCAGAACACATTATGCCATGTGCAGGGCTTGATGAATGCAAGGCTGGGGTTAAAATTGCTGGAAGAAACATTAACAACCTTAGGTATGCAGATGATAGCACTTTGATGGACGAAAGCAAAGAGAAACTGAGGAGCCTTCTCACCAAGGTGAAAGAAGAAAGTGCAAAAGCTGGGTTGCAGTCAAACATTAAAAAAACCCCAAGATTATGGCAATCAGACTGATTGATAACTGGCAAACAGAAGAAGAAAACATGGAGGCAGTGACAGACTTTGTATTTCTAGGCGACAAGATTACCGCAGACACAGACTGCAGCCAGGAAATCAGGAGACACTTACTTCTTGGGAGGAGAGCAATGACCAACCTCAATAAAATAGTGAAGAGTAAAGACATCACATTGGCAACAAAGATCCACATAGTTAAAGCAATGGTATTCTCCATAGTTACCTACAGATGTGAGAGCCGGACCATAGGGAAGGCTGAGCAAAGGAAGATAGATGCTTTTGAACTGTGGTGCTGGAGGAAAGTTCTGAGAGTGCCTTGGACTGCGAGAACATCCAACCAGTCCATCCTCCAGGAAATAAAGCCCGACTGGTCATTGGAGGGAAGGATAGTAGAGGAAAAGATGAAGTACTTTGGCCATATCATGAGGAGACAGGAAAGCTTAGAGAAGACAATGATGCTGGGGAAAATGGAAGGAAAAAGGAAGAGGGGCTGACCAAGGGCAAGGTGGATGGATGGGATCCTTGAAGTGACTGGATTGACCTTGAAGGAGCTGGGGGTGGTGACGGCTGACAGGGACCTCTGGCATAGGCAGGTCCATGAGGTCACGAAGAGTCGAAAGCAACTTAACGAATAAACAACAACATAATGACTTGACTTTATAGTAAGACCCACTACTACTCAAACTTTTAAACAGAGGGCCTGGTCACAGTCCCTTAAACTGTTGGAGAGATATAAACATGAATGAATTGCTATGCACACTGCACATATCTTATTTGTAGCGCAAAAAACAACAACTTAAAAACAATACAATAATTAAAATGAAGAACAAATATAAACTTATTAGTATTTCAATGGGAATTGTGAGCCTGCTTTTGGCTGATGAGATAGGATTATTGTTGTTGTGTGCTTTCAAGTCGTTTCAGATTTAGGTTGACCCTGAGCGAGGGCCAGGTAAAAAATGACCTTGGAGGGCTGTATCCAGCCCCCGGGCCTTAGTTTGAGGACCTCTGCAAGTTATTTCTAAGTTAAGTTTAGTAAGTTACTTTTTTTGAAAAAATGGTAGTTTCTGCAGACTTGGTTTAACTTTAGAGTAAATCTACATTGTAGAATTAACGCAGTTTGATGCCACTTTAATTGCCATGGCTCAATGCTTAGAGAGTCCTGGGAGTTGATGTTTTACAAGGTATTCAGCCTTCTCGAGCAAAGAGTTGAACTCGGAGTTTTCTCATTGGGTGCCTACAAATGTTCTTGGGACAGCCAATCGAGGGGAGGGGCGGGGCAAAGCGTTAAAGGAGGCGAGGCTGTCTTTCGGAAATGAAATTGGGCGCATGCGCAGGAGGTGACATGAGTGGCTCTGCGGCGGGAAGTGCGACTCGGTTGGGCGGAGGAGGGATGTCTTCGCCGAAGCGGTAATGAGCAATGCAGGCAGAGGCTGCAGGTGCAGGGGATAAGCTTTGGTGTATTTTTGCAGCTGTGGTTTGGCCCTTGGTTTATGTCTTAAGGCTGCATCTACACTGTAGAATTATTGCAGTTTCGCAAGGCTAGTGCCACCCCAAACTCCCAGGATTCCATACTATAAAGCTAGGACAGTTAAAAGACAGTGCCAAACTGCACTAAATCTAGAGTGTAGTTCAGGTATGGGCAAATTTGGGCCCTCCAGGTGTTTTGGACTGCAACTCCCACCATTCCTAACAGCCTCAGGCCCCCTCCTTTCCCCCCTCAGCCGCTTAAGCAAAAAGGAAAGTGCCGGAGGCTGTTAGGAATGGTGGGAGTTGAAGTCCACAATACCTGGAGGGGCCAAATTTGCCCATACCTGGTGTAGATGCACCCAAAGCCTGGAAAAGGGCCCCTCTTTTGTCCTAGATGAGCATCCCTTCTCAGAAATGCCTGGGTTTTGGATTTGGATTTTTGAATATTCGCACCAGCATAATGAGCTATCTTGGGGATGGGATCCAAATCTGAGCATCAAATTGATATATGTTTCCTAAACAATTTATACACGCAACCTGGAGGTTATTTTATATACAATATTTTAAACAATTTGTGCATGAAAACGATTTGTGTACATTGAAGCACCATTTGGACAATCTTGGGATTTGTGGCTTTTTGTGTTTCTGGGTAAGGGATGCTCAATTTGTACCGTATTTATGATCAATGTATTGTCAAAGGCTTTCATGGCCAAAATCATGGGTTGTTGTTGGTTTTTCGGGCTGTATGGCCATGTTCTAAAAGCATTCTCTCCTGATGTTTTGCCTGCATCTGTGACAGGCATCCTCAGAGGTTGTGAGGTTGTGTATTTATGATCGTTTCAAATGATCAACCAGTACTTCCAATGCTAGATTCTTACTTGCACGAAGTGTTCTTGGATTTACTCCTAGATTTACAAAGATAAATACTACTACACATTTTCAACAGTAGAAAGAAGAGATACTTAACTAACTATATTGTTAGTTTCTTTTTCAAGTTTCACATACTGTTTGATAGGTGTACTAGCTAAATTTTGTCCATTCGTTAGTGTTCAGTGTTTCAGATCAGAGAGCAAATAATTACTTCTACATCACTAAGCTCTGTATCTCCTAGGGAATATTAATGAGCGAGCAATGGCACTTGGAGTAAGTGGCATTACACTCTCTACGATCTGGATAGGATTGTGCTCTTGATAACCAAATCTACTTTGGCTTTTTGTTTGACCTCTGTCAGCTGTCAAAAGGTTCGATCAACTCTTAGGGTTTTTGTTTTGTTTTGTTTATTATTCTCAAGCCTTCTCTCAAAAGCTGTCTATTAAGAGCCAGCTAATTGGTTTGATAAGTTGTTTGCCTCTCCTTTAGGAGTTTTCAACCTGTGCCCTTGGATTGAGTGCCCTTCAAATTTTATTACTATGCTAGCTTGGGTACCTGGCTATGCCCGGGTTATTTGCAAAGGGCATTGTTTGCTTTTGGATGATAGGTCATATCACTTTGATAATTTGTGATGTTATTTATTAGAAAAACATCAGTCTTTTTGTTTTTTTTTATGAATGCTCCCATTAGAAAATGCATAAGGATGTGAGTGAACTATAATTCCCAAAATTGTGGGTCAGTCACTCCCAAACCCTGCCAGTATTCACAGTTGGCCATGTTGGGTCTGGATGCCGGTGAACTACAACTCCCATATACCAAGGTTAATCACCACCAAACTCCACCTGTATTCAGAGTTAGCCATGTTGCGTCTGTGTGCCAAATTTGGTCCAGCTCCGTTGTTGGCTGGACCAAACTCTGGATGCAGGTGAAATTGGGAACGATTGACAATCCATTGGATAACGATTTTAGTAAGGAGACGTTGAAGATTATATTTTTTTGTCTTTGTTTGGTTTTTATACTATGTGTTAATGTTTTAATTGTATTTATAATTTGTTTTTAACTTGCTCTTTATAGTTGTGGGGAGGCATCGAATTGTTGCCAATTGTGAACCGCCCTGAGTCACCTTTGGGCTGAGAAAGGCCGTATATAAATGCGGTAAATAATAATCTATATATATAAATCTGTTAGGTTGGTTCAACGGGACAGCAAAACTCCACAACCCCCCAACGAAACTGCACCAAAATTGCCATGCCCATAACACAACCCACAAGGTACAAACATATCTACTCAAAATGAAAAACAACACAACAACACACTCACAAAACGGCAAAACAACAAAACTCAAAAAAACCCCAATGAAACTTAACCAAAATTCCCATGCCCATAACACAACCCACAAGGTACAAACATATCTACTCAAAATGAAAAACAACACAACAACACACTCACAAAACGGCAAAACAAAGCAAGCACACTCACAAGCACGGCTGGCGGGGACGAGAGACAAGGCCTTCTCCGTGGTGGCCCCTCGGCTGTGGAACACCCTTCCCGCAGACGTTAGATCGGCTCCCTCCCTGCTGGTGTTCAGGAGAAGAGTGAAGACCTGGCTCTTTGAACAGGCGTTCAATTAAGCAGTGCAATCAATTGACTGAGTTTGGAACTGGAATAATGGATGAGGAGATCGGATTGTGATTTTACTGATGAGACGTGACGGATTAGTTATTGGATGTATTGATGTTTGTTCATTTACTGATGTATTGTTGTATTGTTTTAACTGCTTTAGTGACTGTTTAGATGCTAATGCTATGCACTTTGTATATTGTCCTGTTGTAAACCGCACTGAGTCGCCTACGGGCTGAGATAGTGCGGTATACAAATAAAGTAAATAAATAAATAATAAATAAAACAACAAAACTAAAAAAAAAAACCAACGAAACTTAACCAAAATTCCCATGCCCGTAACACAACCCACAAGGTACAAACATATCTACTCAAAATGAAAAACAACACAACAACACACTCACAAAACGGCAAAACAACAAAACTCAAAAAAACCCCAATGAAACTTAACCAAAATTCCCATGCCCATAACACAACCCACAAGGTACAAACATATCTATTCAAAATGAAAAACAATACAACAACACACTCACAAAACGGCAAAACAACAAAACTAAAAAAAACCCAACGAAACTTAACCACACACACACACAAAACCCCACGCTCTATCACTCCCCCGCCGCCGCACACACACACACACACACACAACCCCACGCTCCATCACTCCCCCTGCCGCCGCACACACACACGCAACCCCACTCCCCCCGCCGCGGCACACACACACGCAACCACATCCCTCCCCCCGCCGCCGCACACACACACGCAACCCCACGCTCCATCACTCCCCCCGCCGCCGCACACACACACAACCCCACTCCCCCCGCCGCCGCACACACACGCAACCCCACGCACACACACACCCCCGCCGCACGCACACACACAACCCCACGCTCCATCACTCCCCCGCCGCCGCACACACACACGCAACCCCACGCTCCATCACTCCCCCCCCCGCCGCACACACACACACAACCCCACACTCCATCACTCCCCCCGCCGCCGCACACACACGCAACCCCACTCCCCCCGCCGCCGCACACACACACGCAACCCCACGCTCCATCACTCCCCTCGCCGCCACACACACACACACAACCCCACACTCCATCACTCCCCCGCCCCAATCTTACCTCCTTTTACTTCACGCCACCTCCAAACCCCACCCTGCCCCTTCCCGCCCTGTCAAAATCCAGGAAAGACAGGAAGGAAGGAAAGAAGGAAGAAAGAGAAAGGGAGGTAAAGAAAAAGGGGGAAGGAAGGAAAGTTAGAGAAAGAAGGAAGAAGAAAAGGAAAGAAAAGGAAAGATGGAAGGAAAGAAAAGAGAGACAGCAGAAGAGAAAGAAAAAGGGGGAAGGAAGGAAAGAGGTAGAGAAGGAAGAAATGAGAGACAGAGGGAGGGAAAGAAAAGGGGGGAAGGAAGGAAGGAGAGAAGGAAAGAAAAAAGGGAAGGAAGGAAAGAGGGAGTGAAGGAAGGGGGAAGATGTAGAGAAAGAGGGAGGGAAGGAAAGAAGGAAAGAGAGAAGGAAGAAAAGAGACCAGAAGAGAAAGAAAAAGGGGAAGGAAGGAAGGAGAGAAGGAAAGAAAAAAGGGAATGAAGGAAGGAAAGAGGGAGTGAAGGAAGGGGGAAGATGTAGAGAAAGAGGGAGGGAAGGAAAGAAGGAAAGAGAGAAGGAAGAAAAGAGACCAGAAGAGAAAGAAAAAGGGGGAAGGAAGGAAAGAGATAGAGAAGGAAGAGGAGAAGGAAAGGTGTGAAGGAAGGGAAGGAAGGAGGGAAAGAAGGAGAGAAAGAGGGAAGGTTGGCCACAGCAACACGTGGCGGGTAAAGGTTGTTATTTCTATTATTATTATGCTATTATTCCTATTAGACCCTGGGGGAATGGGAGAGGTGTCAGGTCCCAGAGGCAATGCATTGCATTATTGTTATTGTTATGATGGTGGTGAAATAAAAGGAAATAAAAAGTGAAAGAAGGAAGCAAACAGGGAGGGAAGAAAGGCAAAGGAAGAAAGGGGGAGGGAATGAAGGAAAGAGAGAAGGATGAAACCAAGTAGTGAAAGAAGGAAAGAAAGAAAGAGTAGAGAAGGAAGAAAGGAGAGAAAGGGGGAGGAAAAGGGGGAAGGAATAGGTAGGTACCTCTCTTTCATAATAGTCCAGATATCTACCTCAACTTTGATAAGTTTTACTATAGGCCACAGCAACGCGTGGCAGGGCACAGCTAGTAATAAACTAAATTGTGTGCTTTTACCAATAATAGGTTTTTCTGGTTCTATAATGTTGAGGAATTGTTAAGTTTACATTTGCCAGAAAACAATGACAAGATCCCAGCAAGCTGCATCCCAGTGAGCTGCTACTAATAGAATAAAAGTGAAAAGATGTGGTCATCAAAAGAATTGGATTAACTTTATTTATTTATTTACTATACTTGTATACCGCCTTTCTCATCCTATCGGCAACTCAAGGCAGTTTACAACAAGTCAGTACACATAATAACAAAATACAGATTAAGCATTAAAACAATATAAAACCACAGTAGAAACAATAAAACCAAACATCATTATCGTCAGTGTCTCCTAGTTTAAACAGGGGGTAGCTTCTTTGAATTCATGCAACACTTCATAGTCTTCTGATCTGTAATCTGATTTCAATATAATCAGTACTGCACCTCTTTGTGTTTTTAAATGAGATTTCTATTTCCTTCCCAAATAATTACATTTTCAGTGCTGTAATACATATTACATGCATTTTACTGCACATACAAACAGACATGTGTACAAATAGTATTGTGTGTTCTTAACATAGATATGTATGTTTGCATGTCTCAAAAGAAATATTTGCTTTCCAGGTAATTTGTGGCTGACTCATGTCATCAGGAGACGTGACTTTGACTGTTCGACTAGTCCGTTCATTTGAGCACCGTAATTTCAAACCTGTTGTCTACCATGGTGTTAATCTGGACCAGACTGTAAAAGAGTTTATTCAGTTTGTGAAGAATGGTAAGAAGCTGTTGTCAAGAAGCTTCTACATATTTATATACAGTATTTTGGGAAGAAATGCAGTATTTGCCAAAATAACTGGCTGTCTGCTGCCCATTAATGTTCACAAGTATTGAGCAAAATAGACCGGTGCTCTGGCTTACAGTATTCTTCTCTGCCACAATTTGAATAGACAAAGCTCCCAAGAATCCTAAAGCTTCTAGGATCTCCCCCAACCAGGATGATTGTGTTGTCTGGTTCTAGGATGCTAATGTATGAGAAGGTGCAGTGTATGTAATTTTAACTTTAAACCTCCTCCAATCTGGTGCCCTCCAGATATTTTGGAGTGTGACTTTTAATAGCCTTAGTTAAAATGGCTGCTGGTGTGGAATTGTGGGGTTAGAGTTTCAGGCAGCTGGAAACATCATATATGGAAAAATGGCTGTAATTTCTAACACAGGTTGGAATTTTGCAGCCTTCTACATTGAATTGCAACTCCCAGCATTACTCTGGCCTGCTATCTGGAGTTGAAACAAGTTTAAGTTCAGCATTTGTAGGTTGCTCACAGTTCTCTCTCCTGCCTTCACATCTGCATCATGTGGGCTGGAGTCTCTGTACACTTGAGAGGAAATGCCATTGAAGAAATATTGGACAGCATTGCAGTGTTGATTCTAAAAGGACAGTTTGTGTAGCTCTTTTGTAAAAAATAAGTAAAAACTGTTCCATGTGTCTTCAACATTTTCTCTCTCCCCCTCCCCAGATGTGGCACTAAGGACTACACTTCCACCTCCTTTTAAAAAGTACAAATATGGTATGTGTCTATCCTTATTTTTCAATTAAATCACATCATTACATGTTGTTGTTATGTATATTTATATCCAATTTTTTTCATTTAGGACTCAAGGCAGCTTAAAAATAGGTATAGTTAAAAGTTTTTTTTTTCAGAATTAACAGCTATCACTCCGCTGAATGGCAGCAAGTTTCATCTGTGTTGTATGAAGATACATATCATTTGATCTCCAGAAGGGTAGCTATGTTAACTCCCTAAATCAAAGCTCACCAGGTGTCGTTTGATGCCTTCAAGATTTAAGAATAGAGTTATGGCATAAGTGTTTGTGGACCAGAGACCATCTTTATTAGATGACTCTGGGTTTTAATATAATGAGAAATTGAGAGTTTCTCTAGCTGTTTTCTGTATTCTGTGTGTAACTCTACATCATGTCCCACCTCAGTTGTTTTCCCCCGATGATAATGATAATAATAATCTCCCCAAGGGGATTCAGAGCAGATTACAGAATACATACATGGCAAACATTTAATGCCATTATACAATACATGCATGGCAAACATTCAGTGCTGTTATACAATTTACAAAGCACTTAGACAGAGGCAAGATTTTCCTCTTTTTCATTTCTGGCATCTGGAGGCTGTGTTTGACTCGGCCATGAGGAGGTGCTGTTGTTCCATTTTCCATGCCGAGGAGCCTGTTGTCCATGGACGCCTTCTTGATTGAATTGCTGGCACAGCTTCTTCAGGGGCGCTTTTTACCTCCCTACCTATTTATCTACTCACATTGCTGTTTTCGAAATGCTAGGTAAACAGAAGCTAGGGCTGACAGCAGGAGCTCAACCCGACCCATAGCTTTCAACTGCCAACCGTCGGCAAGCTTTTCTGTAGTTGGCAGATTAACCCGCAATGCTAACCACGGCCCATGCAACATTGTCACTTTCACAAAATATGTCGCAGCCTGTGTTTTGGCTCAGTGAAAGCTATCACTAGGAGTCTGGGGGAACTATACCAGCAACTGTAAGAGTTGGAACTATTTTTTTGGAAGCTAAAATCCAATAAAATTTATTTCATTTGAATAGCAGTAAGATTTGACTTTCTTATTTCTTCAGGCTTTCTTTTAAATTACTTCCTGTTTTCACTCCTGCTCCTTTTTCCTATTTGCCCTTTTGGTTTAAGAATTGCTTTCTCTTAATCTGATGAATGTTTTCGCCTGAGTATTGCAATATGTAGAAACGGATTCTTGATAAGATGCCCTATTTGCCTTAGTCAGGGGGTTCCTGTTTCTCTAAATTGACAACTGGAGCCATTTAACCTGAGCTGATGCTGTGATATTTGTATATTACTTTAGGCTATCTTAAAAAGAAAGCCCATGTTATGAAGTAGGGATATATTGAAGGGTTGTAGATGCTTTGGATATGTTTGCATTTGGGATGGGAAGAAATCTGGCATTCTACTGTGGGTAAAACTTTATCTCATGGAGGTGTTAAAGAGCTGGACATTTTGGAATTTGCATCAGTATTATTCTGTACATTATTCATTCCAGTGTTAATTGGCAGAGTTGTCTTTTGGGTATTAATTTTTTATCATCTTGCTGAAGTGCCTTTTAAACTTGGCTCGCATGTTGAAGTGCTGCTCGTGACCCACAATCCTTTGAAATCACAATTTCCTTCGTGCATCTGCATTTCAATATCCAACAACTAATTGTGAGGTTAAAAAGGGTAGCCAAGTAGGAGCTGGAAGCATGGAATGAGAGGCTTATGTGTTGAAAGAATTTACATAGTAAATAAGTAGTGGGTAAAAATGAGGCTGGAGGTAAACAGGAAAGATCTTGGATATGAATCCAATAAATAATGTAAGACTTAAATCAAAGAAGAAGTTTTAGTTAACCCCCCCCCCCCCCCCCCCGCAAATTAATGAATTAAGATAGCCCAGTTATTATGGCCATAATGGACAGATGATATATTTGAAGTGAAGAACACTTATGTCAAGCTAAGTTTTTGTTAATGTTTTATGATATAATTTCTGGGCAAAATCCAACAGTGGCCCAAACAACAGAGTCCAGCAGAATGGAACAGAATGGTTTTGGGAATAAGTGGTTATTTTGTCCTCCTTTGCTAGTGTATATGTAAGGTCAGATTAATACAATGTTTGTATGTTGGTTTATCAGTGTATAATGTAGCACAGCTGTAGCACAGCTGACTAATCACCAACAGCAATAGATCATATCAATTGAAAGGTTGACAGTTTGAAGCCCGGGTCGGGGTGAGCACCCGACCTTTACCCATCTCACTGTCCACCTGTGAGCGATGAGTAGAGAAATTGGGCACCACTTACGCAGGGAGGTATTTTACCGCACCATAAAAAGGAAATACCAGAAAAATGCCAGCGACCAAAAGAAGGAGGAAGTCTGTGATCAAGGTCTCTTCACAGTAGAGGGTGGAATGACAGCACCCCCCTGTGGCCAGAATCGAGCACAACCTCCAGGAAGCCAAAGCTGGGAAAAATGTCAACATAATACCTCTATCTGTTGTCTATCCTGTGTGTTTAATGGCATTGAATGTTTGCTGTGTATGTGTACTGTGATCTGCCCTGAGTCCCCTTTGAGGTGAGAAGGACAGAATATAAAATAATCTTGTTTTCCTCTAAAACTGGATCTGGGTGGAATCCTTTAGACTAAAGATGATTTTAGATGGTCCAGAAAGTTGTAAGAAACAGGAAGCTGAAAATTAATGCTGGATTTCATCCTATGTGAGAGAATCATGGAATGCCATAGTAATGATGCTAAAATAGGACCCTGGCTTTTGTTGGGTCAGTCATTCTGGCATATTAAGAATGAGAATTTATCTATTTTTGAAGAAAAGATTATAGAAATTGAAAGTTTCAAATGATTATAATCAGGATTCTATTGTTCACTGTCAGGGGAAGCTCTTTCAAAAGGAAAGCATTAGCCTTTGGGGATATTATAACTTTTATTCACCCTGAAACACGAAGAAACACTAGATTAGTTAGGATGATTGTCAAAGAAAGTTGCTGATGAGCCTAGAATACACAGTTTCTATCGTCCATTCCCTTCCAACATTTCATATGCTCGGTGTTGATTATTTTTCTTGTACTTTTGGGATAGTTTTTTTAAAAATACTTGTATGTTGATGACTCCTCAGTATTCTGAATTTTTTGAAAATTAGTATTAAGTAGCACTTCGTTTTACACTTATTGAATATCCATTAAATTCAATGGCACTTCTCTTTGTAATAAATATAGAATTTTCCTGTTAATGATCGAAGTGATGTTCCTTGGAAAGGATTGGGACTCCCTACCTCAAAACTGTGGTGTCTGTTTGCTTCTCCCTGTGTGAAGAAAGTAGTGGAAAGAGATAATAACAGAGTATTGTATATACATGCAGAACAGTGTGTGTACTAGAAAAAGACCAAAATCAAAACAAACTTCAAAATAAATTATCTCTTTTCAGACACAATGAAGATCATTCATCAGGCACATGGCTCTAAGGTATATTTTGTGATTGCTTGCTTTCCCTTTAATGTTTGCAAATGTAATGTAATGGTGTTGAATGCTTTCTCCTAGGATGTAATGACAGTCCTTAACTGGGAATCCTGTATTTGTCTTGATTATCTTCCCCTACCTCTTGACTTTCTAGACCAATGAACTCGTCGTCAGTTTAGAAGATGATGACAAACTGATGTTGGCAGAGGACAGCACCCTGAAAGCAGCGGGAGTAGGTGGGTGGTGCACTGGGATTGACTGAAGTCTCAGCTCATTGTGCTTGTCATTATCCAGAGAGCAGTTGCTTCTGTTTGGATAGCCTGTCAAAAAGCAAATGCTGTCCCTCAAAGACTGCATGCAACATGGTAATTATTCAGGAAGGTGTGGGGTTCCATGTACATTCAAATCATGGGGCTTGAGGGCAATATGCATCTCCCTTCAGAATTTTAATAGAGGCATTTTTGAATGAAGAAAATACATGCTTAGAATTCTGTCAGGTTAATTTTAAATGATTGACAGCTTGGTTATTAATACCATGTCTGCTTAGTCTTTTGGTAACATTTAAACAGATGTTTTGGCTGTAAATTTAAGCAATGGAACTAGTGAGAAGTAATGAGATGATTGTGTGATTAATATTGTGCAGTGCAAGGCTGGAGAGTTGCCTAGATTAGGGCTTCTTGAACTTTTTCGACCAGCTATCCCTTTCCAGCTGAGTAATATAGTAATGTTTACATGACCCCAGATTTGTGCGTGTGTCAGGAGAGATTTAAGAAACTACAAGTTTCTTCTGGTGTAGGAGCCCCCGGTGGTGCAATAGGTTAAACCCTTTGCCGGCAGGACTGCTGACTGAAAGGCTGGCGGTTTGAATCCGGGGAGTGGGGTGAGCTCCCATCTTGTCAGCTTCAGCTTCTCATGCGGAGACATAAGAGAAGCCTCCCACAGAATGGTAAAACATCTGGGCATCCCCTGGGCAATGTTCTTGCAGACGACCAATTCTCTCACACCAGAAGCGATGACCCCAGATATAAAAGGTATATAAAATAAGTACAAAAATCAAACATTTACTGATAATAAACCAGCATTTGCAAGGCTTGCTAAACAGGCTGATTTTCCTTTTTGCGGAATACAGTATACTGTATATTGTTGCTAACAGATTTGTGTAAATGGGTTGTATTTGGAAACCTTTTACTGTTGCCAAATTTTTGTGACTCCAACACTGAGATAAGGAGACCCCATTTGGGATCAGGACCCACAGTTTAAGAAGCAGTGGTCAAGATCACTTTGGGGAAGACATGTGGAAGAGGACATGGTTCATATCTGCTTACTTCAATCAGGAGGCACTACCTGCCAGAAAACTGAGTTGTGTGGCTAACCAACTGTCACTTTGGGTTCAGTGAAAGCCACTGAATGCTTACATAGCAGGCTTTGAGACCCTGAGAGCTCTTGCTTTTAAAGACTAGATTTGTAATTATTCCTGGATCTTTTTCACGCTATTTAAAATGTTAACACATTTTGAGTTAGGCAAAGTCTTCAAGTCATTCTGGAGGTAGAGGCTAAAATTAGGAGATGCTGGTCAAGTTGAGGTTTTCCAAATATAAACATGTTTAAATGTATACAATCTTACCTTATTTTAAAAATGCACCCCTCTCCCCTTAAAAAAACCCAACTGCCCCCTCATCGAAAATTTATAGTAAAAATACTTGAGATCATCATCAATTTTTCAGGAAATAACTTTAAAGCTAAAGGTTTCCCCTGACATTAAATCTAGTTATGTCTGACTCTGGGAGGTGGTGCTCATCTCCATTGCTAAGCCAAAGAGCTGGCGTTGTGTGTAGACGCCTCCAAGGTCATGTGGCTAACATGACTGCATGGAATGCCGTTATCTTCCCACAGAAACGGTACTTATTGTTCTACACTCAGAAGCTGGGGCTAACAGTGGGAACTCACCCTGTTCCCCAGATTCCAGCCGCCAACCTTTCGGTCAGCAAGTTCAGCAGCTCGGCAGTTTAACCCACTGTGCCACCATGGGGCCCCTGGGAATAACTTAAGCTGATTAATTTTTCATGATTTTACCCAGTGTTGTTGATAATTTGCGATACCTTCACAACTTTCACCCTGGATCCAATGTGGAATGGTTTCAATGTTGGACTAAGACTCTGGGAGATGAGGATTCAGATTCCCACTCAGCCTCCTCTAAATAAGTTTTGCCCAGAAAACCCTAGAAGAGTGTCACCATAATTTTGAATAGACTTGAACACACACAACATTATATGCTATATCATATATATATATATATATATATATATATATATATTCCAGTGGCTCGCATATTTTGTAAAAGCCTTTCTCTGAATCAGTAAATATGATTGTTTAATTAACCAAGGCAGGTTTACAGACAGAAAGGGTTTATAATTTTTCTCTGTTTTCCCCCTTAATACTTGCTCCTTTCTCATCCATTATCCTGTAAACTCTTACGTGGCAATGGCAACTTTTCCTTAGAAATGTGTACAAGATAATTGCTGCATAACCAACACTTTATAGGCTCATGCAAACAATTGTCTTTCACAATATTAATCACTTGAATCATATAGCAGGTCACTTTGGTGATTGACTTGTTGATACTGAGAAAAAAATAACACTTAGGGAAAAGAGGACAAAATATGACCTTGACTAAATGTTTGGTGGAATAAGGCTTTTTTTTTGTTTTTATAATGTTACTTCCTGAAGTGATAGACTTTGTATTCCTGAACTTCAAACTTCCAGATGGAAAGGTTCTGTATCCATGCAGCAGTCCTTCAGTATTGAAGGTCTTCAGACAATTAAATTGACAATCTCAAGGGGATTTAATGACATTTAATGGCCTGGTTCTGTTCAACATCTTTATTAATTATAAGATTAAGGGTTAGATGGAAAGATCATTAAGTTTGCAGACGACACAGAGTGGGGGATGCCTGACTCGACAGTAGTACGTGTGAAAAAGATCTTGGAGTCCTTGTGGATAACAAGTTAAACATGAGCTAACAATGTCATGTGATTTTGTCCTGCATAAATAGGAGTCTAGCATGTAGATCCAGGGAAGTCATTCTACCTCTATTCTGCCTTGGTCAGACCACATCTGGAATACTGTGTCCACTTCTGGGCACAGCAGTTGAAGGGGATGTTGACAAGCTGGAATGTGTTCCAGAGGAGGATGACCAAAATAATCAAGGGTCTGGAGAACAAGCCCTATGAGGAGTGGCTTAAAGAGCTGGGCATGTTTAGCCTGCAGAAGAGAAGTTTGAGAAGAGGCAAGATGGCCATGTATAAATATGTGTGGGGAAGTCATAGGAAGGAGTGAGTGAGCTTGTTTTCTGCTGCCCTTGGAGACTAGGGCGCAGAACAATGGCTTCAAACTACAGGAAAGGAGATTCCACCTCAACATTAGGAAGAACTTCTTGTGAGAGCTGTTCAGCAGTGGAACTCTCTGCCCCAGAGTGTGGTGGAGGCTCCTTCTTTGGAGGCTTTTAAGCAGAGGTTGGATGGGCATTTGTCAGGGGTGCTTTGAATGTGATTCCTGCTTCTTGGCAGGGGTTGGACTGGATGGCCCACAAGGTCTCTTCTAACTCTATGTTTCTATGACATCTTTAAATAAACTGAGTTACATAAGGTTCTTATTATCACTATAAGAACCATACCTTTAAAAACAATGTTAAAATCAGGCTTACGTTTTCCAAGAACATAGAAAAAAGGGGCTTTGGATCCTTCTCAGCCATCAAGTTTCTGTAATCGGTCAGTGTCTTTGCTCTTTGTCCCACTATGCCAGCAATCTTTGTTCCGTGCATTCCATGTTATCTTTATTGCAAGAGAAATCTGACAACTAAGCCTTGAGGAGATCACGTTTAACACATGGAATCTCCTGGTCCCCTTGAAAGATAGTGGGGTTAATGTGTAAACTTGAAGCCAAGACTCGTACAATCATAGAATTGGAAGAGACCACAAGCTCCATCCAGTCCAACCCCTGGCTATGCAAGAATACACATGTGCCATTTGAACAAGGCCTAATCTTGGAAGTATTTATGAGAAAAAGCTTGGCAGCCATTATCTGATAAATGAGGCCGAAATGTATGTCTCTTTCATTTTTGTTTCAGAAGTAAGTTGCATGTTAAATAGTGATACTCATTTCTCATTGCCCTTGGTTTCTGCAGGTTTCCTAGTCAATATTCAGAGTTGTCATTTCTCCGCTCCTTTTTGCATAAGGCAGGCAGACTTCATTAACTTCTGGTTTAATTTTGAAAAGCAAGCTTAGAACTTTGTGGTACTTCAAAAGAATTCAACGTTCCTAATTGTGATGGCTTTCCATTCGCTCTGAATGAGTAATGTTGCTGACTTATTGTTTTAGAAGAGGAAGTCCTTGACCTACTGGGGGAAAAGAATGGTGACTGCTCTGAACCTTTGTGGGTCCTTTAGCTCTGCCATCTCCCTGGTGAATAATTAGAGGCATTTGAAGGTATTGCTGGAGAAGCCAATTTGTGTCTTTCACTTTGCATATTGTTGAAGCCTCATGAATTAATCATCGGCAGGGCAAAAAATTAGCTTCTTCAGAAGCACGTTTTGATGGGTCATAAGGGAGAATGTAAAGTGATCGGTAAAATATTCTACTGATCGTCTAAGTATTAAATTATTATGGCTACAGGTTAATTTGGGGGGGGGGGGAGAGGATCCTCCTCCCTTCATTAAACTGAAAGAGAGCTTCAAAATGAAGGCTTTGTTGTTTCCTTGTATTACGAAGCGATGAGCTGATTCTTTTAAGAATGAGAAAAGCCATCTAAACGATTTTGCAGTCTTTGGCTTATTTTAAGTTATTTTAAGCAGTAATAATGCCGTTCAGTGTGTGGTACTAAATGTAGTTCAGCTATTTGGATGTGAAGTAACAACAAACAAGCTGGAAAATGGCAATATCCTCTTTGATCCTAAATCATGTTAACATAATATGTGACTTGGCAATCACTTTCCCTCACTAAACATATTAAAATACCTTATCTTTCAGCAAATGAAACAGAGCTAGCATTTTTCTGCATGGATGATTATAGAAAATATAAAGCAAATCCTATTGCAACCTGGTGAAGACTTTGAAACTCGGAAGAAATACATTTAAAATCTGTATTGTTTTGAAAGGTCTTAAAATTGTTAAGGTGAGTATCTTAGTATTATGAATTACAGGAAACCAAAATGTATTATTTTCTTCATTTTTTAAAAAAATGTACAGGATATGACCTATCACTGTGTTATCTCTGTAAAAAGTTTTTCAATGTGACTTATGAATAGAGATAGTAATTTATCATCAGCTCTCATATTTTCCTGTAGTTAGGAACCTGATATGCCTGTGAAAGTAAAAAAAACCACAAATACAGAAATTGCTATTTTTTTAACTTGCGAGAACATCTGGAAACTGACTATAGAATTTTTGGAAAATAGCATTTTTAACCTTTTGGAAAAACACACTTTGGAGATCATAACTTTTAGAAAAGCATAACTTTTCGGAGAGGAGCCAAAAACCCTTTAGAGTAGAATCTTCTCTGTGGTATACAACCAGATATAATTATGTAAGGCAATGATTTCAGTTGTTAGGCTGAATAACCTGTTATCTCTGTCCTGTTAGGAAAATAAAAAAATTGCCAGTGCACAAAAACAGCAGGACTTTAGAAGTGTTTTTCAGTGCCCAAATACACACACACACACACACACACACTCCCATAAAACAACTTGTTTTATATCATGAACTCAAGAGACAAAAATGCAGTAGACTTTGATAAAAATAACATATTTGGTTTACTCACAACCTTCATGTGTTCAGTATACACAAGTACAAAGCTTGTCAGTTCAGTTTCAGTTATGTTTGAGATAATTCTTTGTGCCGTCTGGCCAGGACATTTCTTGCAACATAACAGCAAGTAAGTGTGTGATCTGAGGTCTGAAGTAGTTTGTAGTTTGCTGTCTGTCTGTAATAGTCTGAAGTGATCATGTGGTCTGAAGTAGTCTGTAGTCTGCTGCCTATCTGTAATGATCTCAATGTAATGGTTCTCAAGAACCATAGAGTAAAAGAAGCTGCATACCAAAATATACATACAGGAAACAGTAAGCAACAGGATCATATATAAACATTACTAGGGAAGGCTTAAAGAAGGTTGTCATTTCCAACAGGAATTACATCAGAGGGCCTAAAGATTTCTAGAGAACATTTAATCAAATTTGTGAATAATTAAATCTGCAGAAGTCAAACCCACCAAAGTAGAAGACTGTCTATACTTTCTTGGTTATTGCAGTATTCAAAGATAATTGTACTTTAATTCTAAAATAAAAATCTGTATTTATTAAACTTTTTGCAAGACCTGAGAGTGACTGTCCCGTGCAGTTCTCGGATTGTGGGAAGGAAACACCGCTTTCTTCTACTATTGGGATACTCCTCACCCTTTCCTTTGCAAGTTATTCCCTGGATGATGAGCTTGCCTTTTCCAGAAGGAAAGTTATGTCTTTGTGCAGCCTGGCTTACCTTGGCTCAAGGTTGCCTGTGCTTCCTCTGTGGGTATTTCTTCTTTTCTCTCCTGCTTAGTCTCCTGTCTTTGTAGGTGTCGTGTGCCAGGGCTCTTACCCAATAATGAGGGCAGAGTTTAACTGAACAAGCCCAGCATATGTCAAAACCAGTTTACTTAAACAAAGAACTTCAATACCCAAGTCTTTTCAAGGATTGACTACAGAACAGAAATACAGTGTACAGCTGAGGTAATACAAAACAAAGCCCCACATTCCAAAGACACAGTCTGTAATCAGGGCCCCAAAATTAAATCAGGTAAGCAAGGTAAAACTGAAGTTTTACATCCAAAGGTATTCAGGTATAAAGCGAGGTTTCAGGATTCAGCAGAGTTCGAGAACAGGGTCATAAGAACAACCTGTGGATATAGTTTGGGAAAGTTACTGTTCCCAAAGAGCATTCTCTTGCTCTTGATTCTCTTTATGCAGAGAATCTCAGCTGATGCTCATAGCTGCCGACCTTCACCACTAATCTCTGTGGAACATACTTGGAAGGGAAGGTCATCTTGATCTCTTCCAAATAGGAAACAGATTAACCCTTTCTAAGCAGTCAGCAGTAGCTGAACCAAACCCACCAAACTGCTGGTCATGACAGTGGGAGAAGGAGCAGTAGCTGGGTACTCCCACTATCTTGAATTTTGCTTGTCCAAGATGAGCTGGGCCATATGTAATATCAATCATCACCTCTTATGTCCTGGTTGGCATACCAGAACCACAATATCTCGGGAATTGTGGTTCTGGGGCTGCAGATCACTTAACACGGAACGGGAGTGGTGGAAGAGCTTGCCCTAGCCGGTCCCCAGATACCACTGACCATACTGTTCCTGCCAAATATTTTCAAGCCATTGCATCTCTTTCACTGCTTCAGAGGTCTTTAGAGAGGCAGTGTTTTCCTTCTCCTGATTTTTCCTTTCTTCCTTTTTAGGGAGGGGATAGTTGTCTATTCTGATGAAGCCAGAAGTAGATATATGTGTATGTGTCCAGGAGGTAAATGCTGTTTTCCCTAAAATGGTATTTGCAAATTTTGCAAATAGCATTTCACACGAGAATATATAGTGTTTCTCACAATCCTAGAGTTGGAAGAGAGCCTAAGGATAATCCAGTCCAACCCTTTCTGCCATGCAGGAACACAGAATCAAAGCTCTCCTGGCAGATGGCAATCCAGTCTCTGCTTAAAAACCTCCAAAGAAGGGGACTCCACAACATTCCCAGGCTAGATCCAAAGGAATGGCTCAAGGGTTTTGGAAAATGTACAGTTGTTTGTTTTTGGAGTCCCAGGTATCAAAAGAATATATGATTTGATATGGTTTTTGCACCATATATTTAGTCATATAGAGGTAAGCTGCTTGGAAGCTTTAAACAGTCCAACGAGAGGCAGCCAAGTTAATAACTGGGGCGGCATACAGGGAGCATACAACTCCCATGGCATGCCAGCTCCACTGGCTGCCAGTTTGCTACTGGGCACAATTCAAAGTGCTGGCTTTGACCTATAAAGCCCTAAACGGCTCCGGCCCAAATTACCTGTCCGAACGCATCTCCCCCTATGAACCATCGTGGAGATTAAAATCTGGGAAGGCCCTGCTTTCTGTCCCCCCATTGGCACAGGCACGATGGGTGGGGCCGAGAGACAGGGCCTTCTCAGTGATTGCTCCCCGGCTATGGAGCTCCCTCCTGGTGAGATCAGGTCGACCCCCTCTCTCCTGTCCTTTAGAAGGATGGTAAAAACTTGTATGTGGGACCAGGCTTTCGGGACAGGGCAATAAAGCAGCAATAGGAAAGATTACCAGGCCAATTAGATTTGACGTGGATGACTAGGACGGTTTTAAATGTTGTATTTTAATATTTTGATAGATGTTTTTAATGTTTATGTATGTATATAAGAATTTGTGTCCCGGCAATGAATGTTTGCCATATATATGCTGTGCTCCGCCCTGAGTCCCCTTCGGGGTGAGAAGGGCAGAATATAAATGTTTTAAATGAATAAATAAATAAATAACATGATTAATGTTCTTAATTTATAATATATGTTATTGTCTAGAAATTATGTTTTGGTTTTCACATGTATGTACTGCATTGAATTTTGCCACTATTATGTTGGAAACCGCTTTGAGTCTCCTTAGGGGTGAGAAAAGTGATATGTAGGATTTAGTCTCCAGATGCAATTGCAGTTCCCCTTTTCTCACCATTGGTTATRCAAGTTTAGAACTGCTGTGATATATGATCTCCACTCCTGTTGTAGGCAAGACATAGTTTGTCTTGTTTGTTTTGTGAGGGTTTTTTGGGGGGGGGGGGGTTGCTGCGTTTTGGCTCTAAGGGCGAAAGTTTCTAACTCCTGGAGTAAATGCAGAAGAACAGTTTCGATATAGGTAAAATTGTCAGGATACCTGAAAAAAAAAATAGCAAGAATACGGTAATTTTTTAAAGCTAGTGTGAATATAGACCTATGATGGTGTGAGAACATTATCCTATTCAATCTAAGGAAATTTCCTTTAATCTATTTTTTGGTGAACTTGAGAAGAGCATGGACATGGGAGAAGTTGATTTTTTTTTCATTTGACACAAATGAAATAGTTCTCTCCTTATTGACAATAATCATTCTGCTTTTTGTTTCCTCCCCTTACGCAGGTGATGGCAGTTCCAAAACCTGTAACCCATTCTTTGTTTTTTTCTTGAAATGAAGAACTTTCCAATTCTGAAGACATCACCCATGACCCTGAGATGTGGAAGCCCTTGAGGGAGGTTTCCAAACTTTCTTCAGTTTTTATTTTTTAGTTGTTTTGTTTGTTCCCCATTGTAATCAATAAATATTATTAATTCAGATGTTACCTTCTTTCTTTTTCTTGTCTAGATAAATGGTCTGATGAGTAGAACCAGGCCTCAAAGTTTAGACAATATCCATTGCTTCTCTTTCTGCCCTCACTGGTATTTGTTACCTTCCAGGATGAAGAGAAAGGAAGAAAATATTCCTGGATCTACCGTTCACACACTTCACCATTTTCAATTCCTCCTGCCCCCAGACACTTAGATGGATCTGGGCTTAAGCAACAGACTCTAAATTTGCACAGTGTCTGCTTAAGCCCAGATCCATCACAGTGTCTCTTCCTCTCTATATCACTCATGGCTTTGGAAGGAATGGAGGCCTCAGGCTTCTGTCCCCACAAATAATGTTTGGAAGAAGTGTTTTCCAGCAACTTGTGTGGGCTGAGCTGTTCTAAAACACTGTTTTCTGCAAGGGTAAATAGATGTGCTCAAATTCCCTTTCCTTCTGTTGAGACTCCCAACATGCGTATGCTTTCAACGCATTGCAACCCCATGATTTTCATAGGATTTTCTTAGGGAAAGAATATACAAGACATATTTTTTCCTGGTCCTTCCTCTGAAATAGTGTCTAACTTACTGAACCTGTAGTTCATGGTTGGCCTCCCATCCAAGGAATAGATAGCTTCCTGCTATTTCCAATTTGGTGCTTGTCACCTCAGAGTAATTCTATATATAGCAAGATTATGGTTTGTTGAGAGCAATTTTTTGAGTTTTGGCAAGCACCACTACTTGTTCAGTTTGCTCAAGCAGGTGCAGAGTAAACCAAGAAGTAAATTGTGTAGCAAAAGCCACAAGGTGTCAGTACAGCCCATCCTTTTTTTAAATGAATAACTATCAATGAACTGGCTTTGCCTAAGATGCCTTTATTCAGGGTCCAGTGAGGGGTCAGTAGCTGCAGGCAGGTATTTCTCACTTTGGAAGATCTTTTAGAAAAACTGACGGTAAATTCATAGATCTCTTAACAGAGAAAAATCTCCTTATATATGCTAGCCACTTCAGTGCATGCTGGGTGTATGTTAATTCAGCTCAGTATGCTAAAGAGGGTTTAATTTGCCAGCATAACTAATATACATTTTGTTATCTACTTAAAACCGCAGAATAAGGTCACTGTAAATGACTTGAAGGCACACAAAAAAGAACAAGCCTTCGGGTCAACAACAATTTATGGGACCCCTATCATAGAGTTTTCCTGGCAAGGTTTATTCAGAAGTTTGGATTGGCCTTCCTCTCAGGCTGAGAGAGGGTTACTTGTCTAATACAGCAGGGATTCAAACTGGTCTCTGCATGCCCCAGTCCAACACTAGCCACTCCAGTATGCTAACTCATTCACTCATACATACACAATTGTTGGATTTAATTTTTAAAGTCATTCAGCTGGGAATATACAGTTTGCCATCTACATTAGTGGGTTTGACTTTGGCAACTTTGATTATTCATGGATTTGATGAAAATAACACTTTATTTGTATTCTGCCCCATCTCCTTCGAGGGGTCTCAGAGCAGATTCCAAGATACACAATGCAAGGCAAACATTCAATGCCTAGAAATGCAGATAAGGTGAAGGCTTCCCTTTCTGGCTCTTGAGGGGTGGTGCTCATCTCTGGCTCTGAGATGGTGGTGCTCATCTTCATTTCTAAGCCAAAGAGCCAACATTGTCCATAGACACTTCCTAGGTCATGTAGCTGGCATGACTGCATAGAGAGCTGTTTATCTTTCTGCCGAGGCGGTACCTATTGATCTCACATTTGCATGTTTTCAAACTGCTAGGTTGGCAAAAGCTGGGCTAACAGCAGGAGCTCACCCCGTCCGGTGGATTTGAACCACCAACTTTCCGGTCAGCAAGTTCAGCAGTTTAACCTGCTATGCCACCTCCAATAATTGCTAGGTTCTCCAATGTGAATCTATGGTCAATTGATCATAAGAGTTGTGCTGAAGGAACTAGAAATATTCTTTCAGGTAAAAAGATAAGAATTTCTATTTGCAGTTTCCCCCTTTCATGAAGGGCCTTGTGCCCCAAACTCTCACGGATGTGAAGGGCTGACAGCACTTGGAGCTGCTGAAGTGCCATTCATTCTGAATAAACACACATAGGATTTGGTTCCATGGCTTAGCAGTGTCCTTATGTGTGGATGTAAACCGGTTTGAAATTAATGAGGGATTACCTCTGAGTCAATAAGGTCAGAACTGGGCATAATGGATGCATTTGTAAACGTATAAAACACTTTGGAAGCAAGATTTGCTTGGGAGAAGTGGGAATGTGTTTGTAATATTTGGTGTCCATTTGTACAGTATTCTTCCTGAAGTGTCGTCTTACCCCTAAATCCTACTTCAAATTAAGCACCAGCTAGATCCTAGCAGTGTGAAAAGAAAAATTCTGCATAATGCAAACTGGTAGAATTACTAAAATTCCAATGCAAATACCCAGGGAGCGTTAAAAGCTTTACCTGTAGAGGTTAAGCAGCAGTACTGGAATTTAAATGAACTCATTAAAAACCCAACTGCCAAATAAGCTCATTAAAATTCTGCATCCCCTAACCAGGAGACAGTGTCTTTGACATGTTGTATTCTTTTGAGGAAGTGGCGCAAAAAAGTGATGAAAAGAGGAAAATACCCATTGCTTTCCTCTTTCTTACATATTACCGTTATAGCTTATTTCTGTAGACGTTCAGGTAACATTTATTGCCTCGTCAGTCTCAAGTCAGATGGGCTGTCATTCTCTCAAACACTCAATGAAATGGTCCTGGTTCTTTAGAAAAGTGTATTCTACCCATTCACAACCCTTCTTGCACCTTTAATTCATTGATGCCCTTTCCCATTAGAAACTCAAGTGCCAGCAGGTGGCATGAAGCCACCATAGGATGTCCTCTCTCCCTGAAACACTGCAATACACTCAAGAATTCACTCCCTTCCTGATACGGGGAGAAGAAAATGTGCTTTAAAGTAAAAACCATGCAGAGACTTTAGAAATAGCCTTTTTACTGTAAATATTGGTGGGATAGATAGCAAATAACAGCTAGCATCAAAGTTTCCATTTCATGGATATGTCCCAGTTATGTATTTTATACACAATGACAACAAGAACAAAAGATTTATTTGGAAGCAGGATAGTAGCTGGTTAAAACTCCCAAGGCACAAATTAGGCAGTGCAGAAAACACTGATACAGGCAATAGACGCCACGTATCTCTTATATCACAGCAGTATATCCATACAGAATACAAATAGAAAAATAACATTGGTTTATATCTTCACACAAGCATTATATAACCCTTCTCTCCCAATACTTATAATTAACTATGCAGAAAGTATCTATAAAGGGAACTGTGTTTCTTATTTCAACTTTTTTTTTTTAAAAAAACAGCTTACTTCTGGATCAGAATTATTTTTTCAAATTCTTGTAGACATGTCTAGATGAGTTGTGAAACTTGGCCATTTCAACATTTGCATGTAAATGGGGTTATTGAGGAAATGTGACTAATGTGTGTGAATGTACCAACTATATGTGCATCTTTTGATATGGTGGATCAGATGTTCTATTGCAGTAGTTCTTAACCTGTGGGCCTCCAGGTGTTTTGGCCTACAACTCCCAGAAATCCCAGCCAGTTTACCAGCTGTTAGGATTTCTGGGAGTTGAAGGCCAAAACATCTGGAGGCCCACATGTTGAGAACCACTGGTCTATTGAAACCACAAGTATTTCATGAGCATTGTTCATGAATCTATCTGGAGCAGAACTGGATACCTAGCTTGATTAAAAACATGCTTCTGGCACTCATGGTTGTTGAAAAATAAATATGAAAATATAGGTGCAATTGAATATAGGCAGAGAGCCACACAGAATGACTGATAGAAGCTGACTTCTAGAACCTAGAAAAGCTTTCTTAAACTTAACTGATAACACTCATTTCCCCCAAGTTTCCAATTCTTCTGCACCCTGGTCATGAGGCTCCATGCTTAGTCCATTGTGCCAAAAGCTGAGCAAATTATGGAAAATAAACACATTTAGATTTCAGAGCTAACATATGCAGAATAGTTGGGGGCATGATTAGTGGTACATGTATCTGAACTCCTTGGGACTCCTGAGGACCAGCTTTTATGAGCTCTGACTATGAAGGATATTGCTGAAAACCAGTGAAAGAAACAGTATTTCTCAATCTTTGGTCTTCTGTATGTTTTGATCTTCAGTTTTCAGATAGCCTAAGTAGCCAATGATCTGCAGTTCTGGGAGTTAGTGTCTAAAACATCCGGAAGACCAAAGGTTGAGGAATACTGCATTTTTTGTCCTATTGTTGGTTTCTTCCCCTACTTTATGGGATAGCTTTGGGAGGGGTTCTACCTCACCTCACCTCTAGCATTAACAGTATGACTGGAAATCACAGCTTTCTCTGGTTTCTATTGCCCAGTTGGGTACTAGGTATACATTCTTCAAATCACCTCTCTTAAAAAAAATCTTGATCTAACCTTGATCAAAAAGAGTTATTAAAAACTCTATGGAAAGAAACTCAAAGAGGGGATGTCACAGTTCACAGCAGCCATACTATGTAACATAGGTTCTGAACAAGACTGTGTAGTATTGCGATATAAACCCTCTCTTAGGATAGTTAAGCATGGTTTAATTAGAGTGATATACCACATATTTTGGAGACATTAAATAGCCACAGCACTCCCCCAAAAGAAGCATGGAAAAGCCACAAGTCAAGTTGAAGAGTCTTCTCATTAATCCCTCAGTTGTATTTGAAGCTGCTTTGTACTTTGCTGCAAGTAAGATCAATGGGGGACTTAAAAGGATATTTGGTTCCACAGTCTCCAGGAATATAATCATCACAGAAGAGCAGTATATTTCAGGTTACTTGAAAACTCTTTGTCTAGCAAGGTCAGCTCATGTAAACAGTAACAGAGTTCTTGTCTGCCTGACTGATTCTTCTCCTGTGCAAGTATTTTGGATACCTTTCAGGGTCCCATATGGTCCACCTCAGGATTTCCGAAATTTTTGGTGAAAGCAGCTGGTGAGTGGGGATCAGGCCCATGCCAAACAGCTCTACCCAGCAATAGTGTATCAATTAGATGTAATCTAGTGTGTGCAGGGAAGAGCAGCTTTATGTATATAGATGGATGCCTATATGCTTCCTAAGAGCTTGAATCCTAGAACACTGAAGTTTCAGTTTGCACGGATGGTTCCCTGCAGTCAGTTGCATGTACCAGCAGCACTGCCTGCTGACATTTGTGCTAGAAACTTGCAGGATAGGGAGGAAGCTAACTCGCCCAACCCACTATCTGTTCATTTGTGCTATTTCTACTGCTTTAACTCACTGCCTAACATTTATATTTTTACTCGGTGTCTAACATTCATAATTCTTCAATTCAAGGGACTCATGACCAAGAGACCCTTGCAGAATTGCCAAACAGTTTTAAAAGATTTTCCTGACATTTTGCCTGAGAATAACATAAAGGAAAAGTGTCACATTTCATGCCATGTTTCTATGTGAACAACTTTTGCATCCATTTCCTTAATATCTGAATTGGAGGAAATTCAAGACCCTATGTGTGATACCCATGTTTACATTTCCTTTGAATTTTGACAATTGTGATCCAGCAACATGTAATAAAATGACAGACATTTTAGTATCTACCACTTAGAAGGTGGCAGATAATAAAATGTTCTTTTGAGATGTGTAGTGGGTGTTTGTGATCCCACGGTACTTATGAAATGTGCAGATGTGCTTGTGATCTCACAGTACCTATGCTCCTTGCGATCCCACAGAATTGGCTAGTGGGGAACCATTCTGTCTACATATCACAGTGTTGCTTGTCCTTAAAAAATAGGGAAAACACCAAAGGCCTGACTACTATTCTAGCTGTATGCAAGTAGTGATAGGCTACAACTAGTGGCCTGGCATTAAAAGATATAATCCAAGCAGTTCAGGAGGGTTGCTCTGTGGTGGTGAAATGGGTAAATATATATCTGTTGATTGTGTTGACATGTATGTACACATGAAAACCATTTTAACACATATGGTGGTTATAGTCAATCAATTAGCCTATTCTCCTGATTGAATAGTGTAGTGGTTTTCAGTATCTGTACCTCCCAATGTTTTGAACTTCAGCTTCCTAAATCCTGACCAGTGTGCTTGGAGTCTCTGGGACTTGGAAGTCCAAAAACATCTGCAGTGCCACCGATTGTATGGTAATGTCAGTTAGCTGTCAGCCTCCATTTGCATTATGTTTGGTAACAAAGTGTCACTAAGATTTTTAGTTTAGCTTGGACAACACAGATGGGAGCTTCAAACAGCATCATTTCAGTTTGCATTGGCTGTTCAGCTGTCTTGCCACTCTTTGTGGAGGCTCTTCAAAGTCACTTTTGTTGTATTACAGCTGTGGCCAGGTCATGCCTGACTCATGAAACACATATTCCTGAGATGAATCTGTTCCTCATTTGACCTCTACACATACTGGTGCCAAGAAACGCGAGAACTTGATTTGGAGAAGAAAAGTTTTCCAATATTTTGGGGATCCATATCACAGCATCTCCATTATATAATGTTCTGAGTTGGCCTAACAGCAAAGAGATGGAAATACAATTGGGATGAACAACTGTGGCCCTTAAGACATTGCTGGGACTTAGTCACCATAGCTGATGGGGAGGGATGATGTGCAAGGCAAACTAGTACTATCTAATAGGCCACAGTTGTCCAATTAAATAAATAAACATTTAATACACAAAGACACGCGGTGACCTGTTGTTCAAAGCATTTATCTTCAATTTTCAAAGGGAATTATTTTGAGTCATCACTGTGATATGTGCTCCCCTTTCCCTGTTCATTCTTTCCAATCCATTTCTGTAAATATATGAAAGTTTTTCCCCCTTGAACTGTAGAAGATAAGCAGACTGGAGAATGATAGAGAAAGTAAGATATGGGAAGGAGCCTTCCTTGCGAATCTGCTATACTTCAAATGTGCTGATTTTTGTTTGAGCTGCCAGCTCAGTCTTTGGAAGTTGACTGACAACACTACACTGAAAAAAACAATATTGTCTAATTGGTTGACATGCGAATAACTAATGAGCTCTCATATGTTTTCTCTTTGTAGTATCAAAAGAGTGGCAGCTACCCTTACATGTAAAGCATAAAGTGTAAATGTGCTGAATGTAAAGGAAAGGCTGGAATATCGCTACACTAAGTATCAACTCCTTTCTAGAGCTTTATCTAGAGCAGTGTTTCTCAAGCTGTGCTCCAGATGTTTTTGATTTTAGCTCCCACAATTCCTAACAGCTGAGAAGCTGGCTGGGACTTCTGAGAACTGAAGCCCAAAACACCTGGAGAAGCATACTTTGAGAAACACTGATATAGAGCAGTAGTTCTCAACCTGTGGGTCCCCAGGTCCCAGAAATCCCAGTCAGTTTACCAGCTGTTTGGATGTCTGGGAGTTGAAGGCCAAAACATCTGGGGACCCACAGGTTGAGAACCACTGATCTAGAGGATATTTAGGTTAATGGTTCTCAACCTGTGGGTCCCCAGGAGTTTTGGCCTACAACTCCCAGAAATCTCAGCCAGTTTACCAGCTGATAGGATTTCTGGGTGTTGAAGGCCAAAGTATCTGGGGACCCACAGGTTGAGAACCACTGATTTAGCTTGCCCGAATGGCCTGTCAAGGCTGTGGTCCTACATATACTTACCTAAATGTTTACCTGAAAATTAATCTTGCTGAATTCAACCCAAAGTGTTTGCTAGAAAATTTACTCAGCATCCACCTTGCTCATTCAAACTAATTTGGGTGCATTAAAAACCATCACTTGCAGCGCAATCCTAAGTGCTTTTTAATAATAAATAATAATTAAATATGTATAGTGTACTTTCTCCTGAAGAAGTGCATAAAGGATTGCTGCCTTTAGACAAGCCACCAGCTGGTGGATATCCAAACAACCACAGGGAAAATTATCCTTAAGTTATATCCATATTTGACACTGAATGAGATTCTATTTCCAGAGTAGTGCTGATTTCTAGCTTTAAAATAGCAAAGCTGAAGTTTTGCACTGAGATTTTAAGGCAACCAATTATTATTATTTTTTGCTAGAGAATTATCTGTCTATTCTAATTGCAGATCCACCCATTGGCTATATTTGTAACTTACCTCCAAATATCCCAAATAGGATAGCAGACCACCACTCAGTGACACAAACAAACAGACGAACAAATAAAAAACACCTTATAAAACCCAGAACCTTAATAGTGCTTTTTGAATAGTAGAATGGAAAGAAGGTGAAGTATCACACAATGCTGCTGCTTTCTCCACTCGAGAACTCCCCCGATGCTCTGGGCAAGGTGAATTTGACATACCTGCCCCTTTCCCACCCTTTCCTGATGCGCTGCAGTCGTTCGTTCATACATGGAAGATGGAAGAAAAGTTTAGCCAAGATGATGACGCACGGCACCAGTAGTGTGAGGGTGAAAGTAGGAGGCAGGTAGAACTTGTACTGGCTCTCATCGAAGGCCCTTGTCCAGCCGTACGTCAAAGTATGGAGAGTGCTGATCACCAGTGCCACAAAGCCAAGGCTGGACTGAAAAGGGGAAGGAGGGGAAAAAAGAAGCATTATTTTCTTCAAATATTGATATAGGCTGAGCACCCCTTATTCCTGTAATCTCCCAAAGTCCAAAATTGTCCACACGGGTGGCTGAGATAGCGACACTTTTGCTTTCTGATGCTCTGATATACACAAACTTTGTTTCATGAACAATGTTATTTAAGATGCTGCATAAAATTGCATTCTGGCTGAAACCTGGACCTCGCTTTACAAACTAGAAATTACTTAGACATAAGAGGAGATCATCTTAAAATTAAAAAGGAACCTCAGAATCCTTGAATGTGGCTAAAAGACACTGATCCATCCGTAAAGATAAGGACTGGAAGGTACAGCCCTATAATTTTTTCAAGAATCACTGGCTTAGATTCTAAGGACTTCTGTTAATACTGTCCTTGCTGAAAAATCCTGTTGACTGCAGGTGATTCTATATTCCTCTCTTCTCCTACAGCTCCTTGTGCCTTTCCAAAATGAAGCTGCAGGGGAAAATGGCAATGGGCCATTTCCCTTTCATCTTCTTCATAAGTAACTCCCATTGAGGTCAAGCGAAGTTTACAAAGGATTGCAGCTTAATATATATTCATAGAAAATAATCCGGGGCAAGGCAATGCTTTTTTTAAAGTCTCTCTGTGGATATTTTAAAATTGTTGTCTTTTAAAAGTGCCTTCTTTACATATACAATCTTCTACCGCTGGAGGGCAGAGAAACAAGAAAGACCACTGTTCAGGGCAGGGAATTGTATTACTCAAAGTTCAGGGGGCAACATCTGTAGAAATAGAAAGAACCGCTAGCAATAAACATTAGATGTTGAATTTTCTGTATCTTATGCATCATAATTCTTATGATTTCTTGCCAATATTCATTCAGAGGAGGTTTGGTGTTGCCTTCTGAAACGTAGAATGCAGACTAGCCTCCATAAGGGTCATTACACTAACATAACTCCCAGTTCTGTAAGAAGCTGGCCTTGTTAAACTTTGCACCAAGGAAATAATACCTAATGCATCCTTACACAGTCACAAGTGCACAGTTGCCCCTTTCTCCTGGCTGGTGAGGCACAGGGGCCTTCCCATCAGTTTAGGAAACTAAGAGGATGGCAGTATTTGTGTTTGGATATACATGTCGTTCTGAACTGTGTTAGCTTTGATTCCCACAAAAAAATGAACTATGGTTGTAAATTTCTCCCCATTGTGGTATGAAATGAAGAAGTTACCTACAAATCCATTTTCTCAACAAAAAAATAGTTCTTAAAACTTTATAGCACAAGACTCCCCTATTCCTATGCTATCTGTATCTGTCTACATGAATCCCACAAAAGATCTGCATCTCTCTGTGTTTTGAATACTATACTACCAGTTGCCTCCAATTCTAGCAGAAAAAATAAAAATAATCAATGCGAGGTTTTGGATTTTCAGCAATAGTGAATGAACTTTGGGTAAAACTTTGGATTTCTGAATTTCAATTTGAATTGGAGCTTCAGACCAAAGTGGATTATTTTCTGAAGTGCTGAATTGGGGGCTGAATGGGAATTGTCCATAATTTACCTACACTCCTGTTATGCCTGGCTGAACTGAAAGAGAGCTGGCTATTTGTCTGGAAGAAACATTCCCTGCCTGAAAGGTATTTGCATCTCTGACTTCTAAGACTAGTACAACAAGCAGAGCAGGCACTCAGGAAGAAATGTCAGGGCAGGAAATGAAGAGGGATCTAAGTGGATTTGCAGAGCAATTTCTGAGCAAGCAGAGGCATGGTTTGATTTTGCTAAGACACCAGGATTCATCTCCGGAACTGGGAGACCTTATAACACACTACATTTCCTCCACATTTGGGTTCCTGTTTCTATCAAAGACAAGCATACCTAATGTAAAAGTCCCTTTTGTCTGTGGGGTAACTCTGGGATTCAGAAATATGGTTTTTGTGCCATTTGCTTCTTTCACAGGTATGCTTTTCACCCAAGAGTGGAATAATGTTTTGGGATTCCAATTCCCATAACCTTTTATTACTGAACATGCTGGCTTGGGGCAGACGGCAGATGGATGTTACATTTTAAAATAGCTAAAGGGTTACGGGTTCCTTCCCGTTGTGTTTCACATTCAGGACATTTTAGGGATAATAACAGTTACATTTGTAAAATAATTTTTGTAGTCTCTGGGACTCTCAGTATTTCTAGTTACAGTTTTTTTAAAAATAATATTTTCCTTCTTGTTTCTCAAAACCAGCTGAGAGAGTTATTTTACGTTAAAACAAGAGGGAGCAATGCAGAAAGCCATTTTTCCAGTCTGCTTTTTTATGTGTGTGTCAGGAGTGACTTGAGAAACTGCAAGTCACTTCTGGTGTGAGAGAACTGACCGTCTGCAAGGACGTTGCCCAGGGGACACCCAGATGTGTTACCATTCTGTGGGAGGCTTGCCTCATGTCCCTGCCTAGGAAGCTGGAGCTGACAGACAGGAGCTCACCCCAACCCCTGGATTCGAACTGCTGATCTTCCACTCAGCAGTCCTGCCGGCACAAAGGTTTAACCCACTGCACCATCGGGGGCTCCTTTCAGTCAGCATACAGCACATTGGTTGCATTTTTAAAAAATGCTTCCAGTCAGCTTACAGAACATCAGTTGCATTAAAAAAAAGTTTCACAATTTTTAATCAAATAATTAATTTAGCAACAATAATCATACTAAAGAAATATTGAAGATTTTACTTATGTCTTTGTCCCTTCTGAAACCCAGTGGCATCACCATGGGTTTCAGTTGGATGTGGACAATGTGAAAACTTTTTCCGAAGCATCTGAAGTGAAGCTGTTATTCCAAGATGACTCTACATTCCACAGAGGGAATCTGGACCCAGAGGCCACTTAAATGAAGGGCAGTAGCTCAGGAGCAAACAATGCATATTAGCATATTATGAAAGCCAAGCATTCCAAATCCAGCCCCTTGCTTCTCTAAGGATGGCCTGGAAGGATTCATGCCTGGAGAGCCACAGCCAATCAGGGATGAACAAAACTGAGCAAAAAGGACCAATAGTCCGACTCAACAAAAGAAGCTGTATTTCAGTGGTTCTCAACCTGTGGGTGCCCAGATGTTTTGGCCTTCAACTCTCAGAAATCCTAACAGTTGGTAAACTGGCTAGGAATTCTGGGAGTTGTAGGCCAAAATACCTGGGGGCCCATAGGTTGAGAAACACTGCTGTATTTGATTTGTTCTCAGTCTGGTCCGATGTCAAACATCAATATATGGAATAGGAGCCGCAGTGGCGCATTGGGTTAAACCCTTGTGCCGACTGGCTGAATTGCTGACCAAAAGGTCGGCTGTTTGAATCTGGGGAGCAGGGTGAGCTCTCATCTGTCAGCTCCAGCTTCCCATTTGAGAAGCCTCACACAGGATGGTAACACATCCGGGCGTCCCCCGGGCAACCTCCTTGCAGACGGCCAATTTTCTCACACCACAAGCGACTTGCAGTTTCTCAAGTCGCTTCTGACATGATAATAAAAAATGTATGGAATAACTTTTTCTTGTTCAGCAAAATGCAGTTGATCCTAAGTTAACACGCACACTTGTAAAATGACAAATGGCTAACTGGAAAATAAACGAGAACAAAACTTTGACCAGTTTCTAAACATCTCCGCTTTTCTAACTTCAATTTATTTTGATTCATCCCTTATTGCAATCCTTTCCCACAATTTGCTGAAATATAGACTTTTATGTACTTGAAGAATGAGCACATAAAAGCTCATGCATCTAGATATTAGCTCGTATGTTAAGTTAGAAGAGACTAAAAGATGTCCTGTGTCTCTATGAGAGCTGAACTACACAGAAAAGTTTGAGTAAATTCTTTTCCGCATATAAAAGGTAGGTTGCAAGTCTTGCTCCAGTAAGAAGAAGTGGGTGGGAAAAGGGCTGCCGAACCCTTCCCTCTGCACCTCATTTCCTATGAGATTTTCTTTAGTTACTTCTCTCTCCCTCTGGTTCAGTGCTGAAGCCAGGAAAGGAGACTTGTGACTGCAGCAATTGACTGTGTGTTGGCAAGGGGGAAGAGCCAAGCACTCCTTTTGCTGATAAAATACCGGTATTGACAAAACAGATAGGGGAATGGTTACCAAGTCATGCTTGGTTTGGCTCAGAGAAAATAGACTGAGCACCCTGTCACTGTAAAATTTACCTGAATGAAACTGAATTCCCTCCAGTTGAGAGAGTTGGAGATGGAAGGAAGGGAAGTTATGGTAAGTAATGAGAGCAAGCCCAGGGCCATGATGCCGAAAGAAATGTAGACCTCCATTCTCCAGACTTCCTCCTCTACCCAGGCATCGGCTTTCTTCTCCACCTGAGGGAACAACGACAGAAACATAAAGGATAAATTAAGAGAGCTGAAGACACATACAGTATGACCACCGCAATGGCAGGGGGTTATTTTTCATGGGAACTTGAAACCATGGATAATAGTAAATCCTATTTAAATGAACCACTTCCAGAAGACCTGTATTCTAGAATTATGCTGGAGGATTTAGAAGATACTGAGAGAGGCCCCTTCTACACTGTCCTTATATTCCAGGATCTGATTCCAGATTCTGCATATTATATGGCATTGGAGACTCATAAAATCCAGTTCAAAGCAGATAACCTGGGATCAGATCCTGGGATATAAGGGCAGTGTAGAAGGGGTGGGAGAAGTCTAGCATTTCCAGCTTCTCAATCGTGACTCTATGGTCAACCTCAAGTGGAAGCATACCACAGAATCATACTGGAGGTCTGAAAAATACCTTGGGAGAACATATTTTTTTCAGACATGGGGGCAGGCAGGTTGTACTACATTTTACTCTCTTTATACAGTTTTTTTATCATGTCAGAAGGAGCCCCCGGTGGCGCAGTGGGTTAAACCCCTGTGCCGGCAGGACTGAAGACCAACAGGTCGCAGGTTCGAATCCGGGGAGAGGCGGATGAGCTCCCTCTACCAGCTCCAGCTCCTAATGTGGGGACATGAGAGAAGCCTCCCACAAGGATGATAAAACATCATATCATCCAGGCGTCCCCTGGGCAACATCCTCGCAGACGGCCAATTCTCTCACACCAGAAGCGACTTGCAGTTTCTCAAGTCGCTCCTGACATGACCAAAAAAAATCATGTCAGAAGCAGCTTGAGAATATACTGCAAGTCTGGGTTGTTGTATGTTTTTTGGACTGTATGGCCATGTTCTAGAAGCATTCTCTCCTGACGTTTCATCTTTATCTATGGCAGGCATCCTCAGAGATTGTGAGGCAAGTCATTTCTGGTGTGAGAGAAATAGCCATCTGCAAGGATGTTGCCCAGGGGACGCCTGGATATGTTAACATCCTGTGGGAGGCTTCTCTCATTTCCTCAAATGGGAAGCTGGAGCTGACAGATGGGAGCGCATCCTGTCTCACAGATTCAAAATGCCAATGTTTAGGTCTTCAGGTCAGCAGTTTAGCTGGCACAAAGGTTTAACACACTGCACTATCGCAGCTCCATGTTCTTATACACTGTGGACCTGAAACAGGTATATCTTAAACAATTGTTGCCTGGTTTGTCAGAGACTTTAGTGATTAAGAAGTATAATTCAGCACACGGTTGACTTCTACTCCAACGTATGCCATTAAATTATGCCACTAACTACAAACTAGTGCTTATCTATTCTGGTGAGAAAATGGATTTGCACCAATGCTGTCACAAAAGGACGATCTTTTACATTTGCTCTTTTACATTTACCTCTGCCTTCTGAGGTAAACTGTCTTCTATATTCAATTACCATCCCTGACACTGAGTTATGGGGTTGTTGTTGTTTTTTGTCTTTGGCTTCATGTTAGTTAAATGCAATTTTTCCCCTTGAGATGCAGTGTGCTTGGGAATAACCTTCTTGGATAAGTTATGTATGTCTTTCAAATGCAAGGTGTGTCCGTATTCTTTGAGATGATTGGAGTTTGTAAGGGAATAACTATCCTAGAAGCTGAAGCAAAAAAACCCAAAAAACAGTCTTGCATAGTCCTCATCTCCTCCCCTTCCCCTTCCTCTTCCTTCTATTTATTTATACTCCGCTTTATCTCTCCTGCAGGAGACTCAAAGCAGCTTAACATAAAAAATCAGTATACAATTAACACTATATAAATATTACAAAAGAATTAAACATAATTAGTATTAAAAACAATTCAGATTAAATACATAATAATAATAATAATAATAATAATAATAATAATAATAATAATGCTGACACGATATGAGGATTTAAAGATCGAACTGCAAAGACTTTGGCACAAGCCAGTAAAGGTGGTCCCAGTGGTGATTGGCACACTGGGTGCAGTGCCTAAAGACCATGGCCTGCACTTAAACAAGCATTATTTGCCAATAGATCACATAGTCTTAGACACTTGGGAAGTGTCTGGCGTGTGATTCAATACAACAGCCAGCAGAGTGATCTTGTTTGCTGTGGACTCATCTTGTTGTATTTCTAATAATAATAATAATAATAATAATAATAACTTTATTCTTATATCCCGTTGTTCTGTCGCGCGCTGGGCCTGTAACAGCTGTATTTGGGGCGGCTCACATACAGCATAAAGCGCCTTAAAGCAAAATGTAAAATACAATAAAATAAAACACATGCACATATAAAACATCAACTCAAACTGCGGTCCTCTAACTGTGGCGGTAAAATGCTGTAAACAAATATACATAAAAACATATAAAACCACAGCAGCCCCTGACATGATCTTAAAAACCTTCTTCTTTAAAAGCCTTACAATTGCCTGGAACAAAACAACGCTTTGCCAAAATGTTCAATTAATATTAGTAAAGGTAAAGGTTTCCCCTTGACATTAAGTCTAGTCGTGTCTGACTCTGAGTGTGTGTGCTCATCTCAATTTCTAAGCCGAAGAGCCAGCATTGTCCATAGACACCACCAAGGTCAGATGTCCATAATGACTGCATGAAGCGCCCTTACCTTCCCACGGAAGCGGTACCTATTGATCTACTCACATTTGCATGTTTTTGAACTGCTAGGTTGGCAGAAGCTGAGGCTACCAGCGGGTGCTCACCCCACTCCCCAGATTTGAACCGCCGATCTTCCGGTCAGCAAGTTCAGCAGCTCAGCAGCTTAACCCACTACACCACCGGGAGCTCAATTAATATTACTTGCTCTAATATGCTCCAACATGTTCATGCCCCCACACTCCTTAGATATGTTTGGAGGAATATTTCTTTTTATGCAGAAAATGGAGGTCTCCGAGGGGGCTAATGTGTCCCCATAGCTTTCTACAGTTGCCTACCCCTGCTTTACAGACTCTGTCCCTTGAGGAAGGTGGAAGTAGGAAGGGGGTACCATTTGCTGCCCTCACTCAGGAAACAATGTGATTGTCCTTGGCCATCGGATGCCCTTGAATAGAACGAATTGTGGCACAAAAAGTAAATGAATAACTGATTCCACATTTCCCTATGTGAGAGAAGCTGACAGCTGGAATAAAAAAGACAGAGAAGTATATTTGAGAGAAAGAGTATTCTTGGTCCCCATCTCCATAGTTAAATGCCTGTGAAATGTGATTTTTTACACAGGAGGGTCCAGAACACCCACCACGTTCTTCCTGCCCTCTGGGGGACTTTCCAACCATGTGGGTGCTTGCCAGCTCTGTCCCTGCTTTGCCACTGACATAGGGAGTCAGCTCCAGTTACAGACTGCGACCACAAACACAGCTCTCTGCAAACTTGGCTGCTCAGCAGCTTAATGGGATTTGGTTTAAGTGCATTTAGGAGAGACATGTTTCAGGCTAATGGGGGAAAAGAAATGGGATTTGTACTATATTACGGAGCCTGACACTTAGGCCCAATCCATTTATTTTATTAAATCGATGTGATTCTTGAGGCAAGGATGTCGCTTGGAAAAGAGCTAAAAGAGAGGACGATAAAAGAAAGAAATAGGCAGAGAAATCGCAGCTGGGATCTGTTGACAAGAGTCACAGAAAAGAAACAGCTATAATTAGGACTCTGTTGTGGGACTTGTACCAAATTTGGGTTGGTCATGAGTTAGGAGGCACACACTTGCATCCCATGTCATTTTAAAAAAGTATCCAGCAAATGGTTGGGCAGGTCTAAGAATCAGGAAATGGTTATATAAATGTGTTGTCGAAGGCTTTTATGGCCGGAATCACTGGGTTGTTGTGAGTTTTCCGGGTTGTATGGCCATATTCCAGAAGCATTCTCTCCTGATGTTTTGCCCACATCTATGGTATGTATCAGCTAGGCTTTGAAGCTGCAAGGTCATTCAATGCTAATCAAGGTGGCCAATTACACCCACACTTGCTTCAAACAGACAAGATTTCTTTCTGATCATTCCACAGATATATAAACCTCACTTGCCTAGTTTCCAACAGACTCAACCTCCGAGGATGCCTGCCATAGATGTGGGTGAAACGTCAGGAGAGAATGCTTCTGGAACATAGCCATACAGCCTGGAAAACTCACAACCTGGTTATAAAAATGGTGTAATAGTAAGGGTTTGGAGTGGAGTTGCCAGTGTCCCTTATTTTAGAGACAAGCAGATATTTAAGCCAACAGGTTTGTTGCTGTATGCCTTCTGATATTTTCGGACTTAAGGTGACACTAAGCTAAACCTTACCATAGGGTTTTCAGAGGTTGAGTGTGTGTGAGCTCCAAGGCCACCCAATGGTTTCCATGGCCAACTGGGGAACTCTGTTCTACACAGTAGGAATCAACCACTATATCACAATGGCTTCTTTAATATGAGGTATTTCTCTATTTTAGAGTTGGAAAGCTTTTCCTTTTCCATAGAATGAACAAGATGCCAAAAACATTCCTTATTTTGGGCTATGAGCCCTTCATAAGAAATGTGTATTTCATGTGATGTATGAATGTGGACAATGTGTTAATTCAAAAATAAATCCATGCCAAGTTAACTGAAATCATTATAGAATAATAGAGTTGAAAGAGATCTCATGGGCCATCCAGTCCAATCTCCTGAATACCAGTATTTTCATTTGGTAGTAGCCACCCCCTGTCACGTGTTGCTGTGACCCAGTCTGTGTATATCTGTTTTTTGTGTGTGTGTATATACATATATATATATGTATATATGTGTGTTTGCGTGTATATATATGTGGTTTTGTGCATGTGTTGTAATGTAATTTTTGTTTTTTGGCTATTTAAGTCGCTTCTGCTGTGTTTTTCAGTGTTTTTAGGAGTGATGGTCACTTGTTGGCTTGATAGATGTATTGTGTTCAAATTTGGTGTCAATTTGTCCAGTGGTTTTAGAGTTATGTTAATCCCACAAAGTAGATTTGTTTTGCTTTGAATGCGATTTTCCTGCTTCTTGGCAGGGGATTGGACTGGATGGCCCATGAGGTCTCTTCCAACTCTAGGATTCTATGAACATTTTTATTTATATAGATTCAGGTTGATTACAAACTTTGTTAACAGCAACTTCCTTATTTCCAGCCCTCAATGTCATGAATCTGATCTTTCCCCTGTTGCTATTTTCAAAACTTGGCAACACTAGGTGGGAAATAATATCACAGTGTGACTTTGAACTAGTCTCTCTCTCTGTTTACATCACAGAGTTGTTGTAGGGATACAGAGAGAGCCCATATATGCTGCCTTGAGTTCACTGAGATATGAATGTAATTAGCTAACTAAAAAATACATAAATAAATTCATTTAACGCGAAGGGTTTTGTTGCTCTTGGAATTTATTGTTATGCCTATTTTAACTTATCACAACCCTATGAATGTAATTTTCATTAATCCTAAGACTCCTGGTCAGGCTTCCAAAGAACTACTGTATATGTATCAATCTAAAGAAATTAGTAAAAAAAATGGCTCAAAAAACCCGAGTCAACTTATCCACAGGTCAATGTGGATAAGTCACACTAGACAATGAATCCACTTTAAATCCGGTTTCTGCCTCCTGCAGAATTCGGGGGTTTGTAGTTTAGGGAGGAACTTTTAACAGCCTCACTAAACTACAAATGCCAGAATTCTGAAGACAGAAACTGGATTTAAAGTGGATTCATTCTCTAGTGTGATGAAGTAGTAAGTGCAGAGTACCTGCTTGACGGCTTCATTGAGTAACAGGTACCGGTGGGACCGCCGCATGGGTAAGCACAAGCTGTACACAGCATGCAGAGCTGCGCAGAAGAAGCTCAGCAGCCCTATCTGCTTTCTGTGTTGCAACCATTGGTCAAGCCAGTCTGGGAAACGCTTGTACTTGGTGCAGTGGTAGAGCTGGAAGGCAGCCGCCAGCACTCCAGGCAGGTAGACGAGGGAGAGCATGACGTAGGCGACGCAAGGCAGGGTGGTGTTGACGACCTCCACGGGCATCTTATAGAACTTATTCTTTTTATCCAGGATGTACGGGTGCAAAACCTGTCGAATGAAGTTGTAGGTGTAGAAGCAGAGAAAGAGACCCAGCGCCAAGAAGACAGGGATCTTCCAAGCAGGGAGGAGGCGGAGGGGGATGTTCTCAATCTCACGGGCTGCAACCAAGGCGCCCATGTCCACGGGTGTGAACCCCAGCATATGAGCAATTTCCCCGATGGCATGTTTGGCTTCCTTGTTGTCACAGCAAATGAAGACCTGTGGCAAACAGAAGGGAGGTGAAGGACTAGCAAACCAAAACAAGATGCAGAGGAAAAGGGCACGACTAAAGGAATCTGAGCAATGCACAACAAAGCTAGCAAGCTGTTCCAGGCACATGCCTGGGAATTTGTTAGCCAAACACTCCTGTATTGCTGTCTTGAACAGAACCGGAGAAATATAGACTCCTAGAGTTGGAAGAGATTATAAGGGCCATCTAATCCAATCCCTGCCATGTAGAATTATATGACTAAGGTAAAGGTAAAGTTTCACCTGACATTAAGTCCAGTTGTGTCCAACTCTGGGGTGGGGGGTGGGTGCTCATCTCCATTTCTAAGCTGAAGAGCCGGTGTTTTCCGTAGACACCTCCATGGAACACCGTTACCTTTCTGCAGAAGTGGGACCTATTGATCTACTCATATTTGCATGTTTTTGAACTGCTAGGTTGGCAGAAACTGGGCCTAACAGCGGGAGCTCACACCATTCCCCGGGTTCAAATTGCCAACCTTTCAGTCAGCAAATTCAGCAGATCAGTGGTTAACCTGCTGCGCCAACAGGGGGCCGCTGCGCTCCTGAAAGAAGCCATCTGTTCAAAGATCTTCAAAGATAGAAAGTCCATCACCCTATGAGGAAACGTTAGCATCAGCTTTAGGACATGAGCCAGAGAACTGCCATGAACACCCACAAGGCTTTATGGTGAAGACTTTCACTTCATTTAAAAATGCCTCAAATTGTCTAAGTTTCAATTGAGTTTCTTTACATCTACATACAAGGGATATCAGTGGGTTGACAGAAACCCACCACCGTCTTTTTTGGTAAGAGCCACGTGCACATTGGCACCCTTGCACCCTGTGGGGGAAGAGGGAGGAGGTGCTGGTGTAGAGGCACACCTTCTCAGGTCTAAGCTGAAGTGCTAATTCCCCATTTTCTCTTTCATTATTATTCAGTCAGGGTTGTCTGCCTGTCTGCCCGAGGTATTCTGCTTGCTTTAGCACCTGGAGCAATGGATTGGGGAACAAATTTTGCACACAGCCATGTTTAATGACCTGTTTAAATCTTGGTAATTGGTAAATCCAGTTTGCTTCATTGGTTAATGATAAACATTGATTCAATGTTTCTACTCTAGTTGGAAAATGAAACTGGATTTAGGCCAGGGGTGAGAATCATGTAGCCTTCCAGATACTCTGTGCCTTTAAATGGTTTCTGATTTATTGTGGCCCTTATTGATGGCACCCCTCATTACAGGGTTTTCTTGGCAAGATTTGTACAGAAGATGGGTTTGTCTTTACTTCTCATTGAGAATAAGGGAGTGTGACTTACCTACAGTGAGGTTCCTCAGCTGAGAGGGAATTCGAACCATGGACTCCAGAGCTGTTATCTAGTGCTCAAGCCATTACACTATGCTGGCTCTCAACTGCTTCTAGATCAATGGTTCTCAGCCTGTGGGGCCCCAGATGTTTTGGCCATCAACTCCCAGAAATCCTAACAGCTGGTAAACTGGCTGGGATTTCTGGGAATTGTAGGCCAAAACACCCGGGGACTCACAGGTTGAGAACCACTGTTCTAGATGTTGTTGGATTGCAACTCCCAGCATTCCTCACCTTTGGCCACATAAGCTAGGGGCTCTTCAGAGTTGCAACTCAGCAACATTTGCAGAGCCATGTGATTGCCATTCCTGATTTAGGCTGTAAGTTATCACAGTTACAAAGATCAGAATGTACTGTTTTATTTAAGGCTAAGAGTCTTAAGGTGTAAAAATGTGTGCAAGGCACTAGATTGTCTGTTGCCTGACAGGACACAAAAATTAGTTATTTACAGACATGAACATGACAGAATTCCTAAAGAGAAATATGCAGGTGGTGGGAAGGGTGAGAATTATATATTGAACATCCCTTATCTAGAAATCCAAAAGCTCCAAAATCCAAAATTAATCAAATTTGTGGTTAAGATATGATCTTTGCTGTCTGATGGTTCAATATATATAAACTTTTTTTGTGCACAAAACTATTTTCAATTATTGCATAAACATACCTTTTGGCTAGGTTATTTGAAATTAATTAATTTTGTGTTTAGACTTAAATTCCATCTCCAAAATGCTTCATTATGTATGAATATGCAAATACAGGTATGCCAAAATCCAAAACATCTGAAATCCAAAACACTTCAGGTTCCAAACATTTTGGAGAAGGGGTGCTCAACCTGCACCATAGTATTTTGGGCACGTTCATCCTTGATACCTTTCCTTCCTTTTGGAGTTTGTAGGTATGATGATACTTACAGAAAACGGATAAAAGCACTAGAAAAGTAGTACCTGTTTATTGCCATCCCTGGCGCCTGACTGTAAGGTCCATGCTGAGATGACATTAAATCCTTTGACGACAGTACATGCTGGGAAAAGTGATGCCAAGTACTCCGCATTTGATTCTTTGTGATGGTTTATTTCCGCATTGTTGCTAACGTCAACCAATATTTTGCCGGACAGCTCATCGCTGAGGTCGCAGAGTGTGGTGTAATGTTCTCTGAAAACTGCCACAAAGATAATATCTGTCTTCTTGATAGCGTCTGCCTGGAACGTCACTTCAGCGGCTGAAGGGAAGAGGCTGGCGCTGCGTTTGGGGTTCCGGCTTCCAACCACCACTTTGAAACCAGAGCACACCAGGCGCATGGACAAGGAGCGGGCAAAGTCTCCACTTCCCAGGACCCCAATCGTCCTGCCACTGGCTCCTGGGACCAGGCTTGGCTCGCTGCCTCCATTCTGGTGGCCCAGTAGTGGCTTCCCCATGTCGCCCACTGGCATCCCGTTAAGCTGAAACCAATTAAGACAAGGGTTGCAAGTGAGAATGGTTCTTTGTACAAAAGTATCTTTTACTTATAAATGCGTTCAGCTATCCCTTTAACCGCTTCCAGAGTGGTTCACCAAACAAAACAATGACAATGCTATCTAAAAAGCTAAAAACAATTAAAAGCTAAAAGCATTATTGAAAGTGCAGACAGAAGAAGTGATTTTCAAGGTTTCTAGAACCAACCTACACAGATAATCCAGAATAGGCTTTTTAAAAAGAGAAATATATACAACAAGAACACAATGCAATTTAATGTGATTTACAAAAAGGAATTTAAATGGGCCACTTTGATGATTCCAAAGCAAAGACAGATGGACTAGTAGTCTCCTATTCAGAGACCTCTACAACTCAAGGTCTAATTTTAGTGTGTTGGGCATGACTCCATAGCTGTGTGTACCTTGTTGCACGGATAGGCAAAATGATAGATAATGGTGTATAATGAAATGAAGGACTTTGGATTCAAGAATACCATAATGTTGTGCTGGAGGATCTAGGAAATGCCTAGAGATTACATATTTTGCCATGGATAAATAAAAGTACAAATACTGGGTCTATAGATAAAATAAATAAATAAATAATAAACACACTTTATGTGTATCCTGCCCCCTCTCCCAAAAGTGAATCATGGTGGCTTACAACAAAAATACAATATACATAGTAATAATAACAACGAAAACAACACAGAACAACAAATCAGAATATAAAAACAAAAGCAGCCATAAAAATATTAAACATCAAAATATCACAAAATTAAAAAATTGTGCTGGAATAAAATATGTTATACATAAGACGCAAAAAACTAGCTCCTATTAACAACCAATTGAAATCCAGTTGGCATTGGAATCAATTTAAAAGCCTCCATCACTTAAATTGTAGTAAACTGTTGTTGAAGGCCTGCTTCCACATCTATGTTTTTAGTTATTTTCTGAAAGTTATTAGAATGGGGGCCAATCTTATTTCTTTGGAAAGAGCGTTTCCGGAGCCGGGGGTGGGTGTCACAACTGAGAAGGCCCTCTCCCTCGTCCCCATCAACTTCACCTGTGAGAGTGGTGTGACTGTGAGAAGGGCCTCTATGGTGGACCTTAAGGCCTGAGTAGGACCTAGGGGGAGACACGGTTACACAAACAGGCTGGACCTTAAAGTGTTTAGCTCAGTGGTTCTCAACTTGTGGGTCCCCAGATGTTTTAGCTTTCAACTCCCAGAAATCCTATCAGCTGGTAAACAGGCTGGGATTTCTGGAAGTTGTAGGCCAAAACATCTGGGGATACACAGGTTGCAAACCACTGGTTTAGGGCTTTTTAGGTAATAACCTGCACTTTGAATTGGGCCTGGAATCACACTGGCAGCCAGTGCAGTTGCTTTAACAAGGGAGTAGTGTGCTCCTTGTAGTCAGCTCCTGTTAGAAGCCTGGCTGATGCTCTTTGCAGTAATTGCAGTTTCCAAGCTGTTTTCATAGGTAGCTCCACGTAGAGTGTGTTGCAGCAATCCATCCAAAATGTAACCAGGGCTTTTTGAGGTACGGGTGCAGTTGGTGCACAAGTTTTAAATGTGCGAAGGTCCGGCCACCGGCGACACCTGAGCCACTGTGTACCTGTGTTCTTAGGGGGAGTGTAACCCCACTGAGCACAGACAACTGCCCTATACCCCAATCAGCCACATGACTGACCACGAGGATTTCTGTCTTGTCAGGATTGAATTGCAGTTTGTTAATCCTCATCCATCCCATCACAGCTGCCAGACACTGGTTTAGGACCTGGGCAGCTTCCTTGGGATTGGGTGGAAATGAGTAATAGAGTTGGGTGTCATCTGCATACAGATGGCATCAAACTCCAAACCTCTGGATGACCTCACCCAGTGGTTTCATGTAGATGTAGATACAGGGTCATACTGTATTACATTCTTCTTCCATAACAGCAAATAACTCCCTAGCAATTCAAAAGGATGGCCACAGAATATAAAACCCCACATATGGCTTTGATGCAAACTATCATCAAAACCATATCTTCTCATATGAACCTGCATATTGCAATCTTATGGAGAAGGCTATCTTTGGTTATTTAATGCTATTAACATTTTGGTATCTCATTTGTTTTAACAATTTATCCTATATTATTAATTGCCACTAGTCCCGTATCAGGAGAAAGCAGGGAAGAAATCAATCAAGCACACAATAGGGAACAGGGGGGCCTCCAAAAATTGGAATACCAGAAGAAACTGATAGGATCTAGAACCCATTTTTAGTATAATATACCTGTTTGTAACTTGGTTTGGACATTATACAAATGTTGCTTCATAAAGAAGCATCACTAACAGTTACTGATGAGTTTTGTTTCCACATTTACATTTCACAGTGTAAGAGAGAAAGTTACAATGTAATTTGAAAGGAAGAGCTTAATAGAGATGCTCTTACTCCTCATGCAAAATACATATATGTGTTTCTATGTTTTAATTCCTATACACTCTCGTGCTTGTTTCAAAATAAATTATTTGATGTGAGGAAAGACTACTAAGCCTGTGTTATGTTTCTGAAGTTCAATTGTAAAGCCAGGAGAAGTATATGTTTCTGAGTTTAACACCCAGTGCGTCGAGGGAGGATTTACTCAGAGACTTCTCACCTCATAATAGTCCTAAAGGGTTTCAAAACACTCTCCCAATTTGGAATTTCTGTACTGAAATTGCCATTCAAGCTAAACAAGAGACAAGGTGTGCGTACACCTAACAGTGTTTTTCACAGGGTAAGACAAGAAACTGTCGTGTGGATAAAACTGGATGATTAAACTGTTTGACAATGCAAACCAAAACCAGAAGCAAAATAGATACAGCCTCTGTAATTAAAGACAGATTTCGGCAGCACCACAATTTAATCCCTGTGTTCTCATGAGTTTGAGAGGATTAAGTTAAGTTGTATGAACAATTTCCAAGAGGTAGTGTGGGTTAGTAGAATGGTTTGTGAAGGTGGCACCATGCATTGTTGGTGGTCTAATTCCATATACTGTATGTATGAATGAGTCACGTGTGGTATGCATCTAGATCAAACTGATCTGTCTTTCTCTCTCACACACAGACACTGTCCCTTCTTTGCACAATTAACTTTTGCTTTTAAGATCAGGAGAAACCAATTCCAGTTTTCTATACTGATAACTGTTGAATGAAGAAGCAATGAATTGTAGTAGCCCCTGGTGGCGCAATGGGTTAAAGCCTTGTACCAGCAGAACTGCTGACTGAAAGGTCAGCGGCTTGAATCTGGGGAGATGGGTGAGCTCCCATCTGTCAGCTCCAGCTTCTCATGTGGGGACATGAGCAAAGCCTCCCACAGGATGGTAAAACATCCGGGCGTCCCCAGGGCAATGTCCTTGCAGATGACCAATTCTCGCACACCAAAAACAACTTGCTGTTTCTCAAGTCGCTCCTGACACACACACACACAAAAGGATAAATCATGTCTCCAAACACAGATGCTTTGTCCCTCCCCCGCCCCCCCAAGGAAAGACATGATCTGGTGAGCAATTGCAAATATCAATAACCTGATTATCACAACGGTTTTGTTTGTGGCTAATGTTAGTAAGTCTACAAGGTCTGGCAGGACCCCATGATTTCAGCTCAAGAAAACCTTTGAAAACAGGACTTATTGCTTTATAGTAGGAACACTTGTTCTCTGGTTGGCGTTGGAGTCGCATGTGGCCCAAAGTCTGTTTTTTCTGCCCCGTGAACACTTCAGGTTTCCATTTTCTTGGCCAAAAAAAAATAGGGTGAATTGCTTCTCTCAGAAACCTTACACAGATAGGTACATCAATGTTTTCAGTTCTTACCATATATTTTTTTATCAAAGCAAATTATTATTTGACTCAATTTGAAGTATTGATTTTCTATTCTTCCTTAAATCATTAACATTCTATCTAATCATTTGGAAGTTTGGGATAAAATCAAAAATTATCCCTGATAATAGTTGGCATGCATAATGAAATTAAAAAGAAAACTGGTGGGGTTGGTACTAATCTCATGGCTGCAAGATGAAATACAGTAATGATTTTGAGATCGAGGTTTGGAAACATAAGCAAACTGTAATTTACTCAAAGCAGAAAGATCTTAATGTCTACCTAGGCAGTCAAGTACTCTCCCACTCATCAATATGTAAGCCTTGCTTTAAGTATAACTCCAGCACACTATATATTATGAATGTGGGAAACTGCCTCAGTTGGTATCAGCTGTTTTGTACTTATTTTTTCAAAGGTTTTATTCTTTCTGGTATGTTACCCTGGAAATATGATTAAAAGGCACTCTAAAAATCCTAAAATAACATTTAAATTAAAACTGTAAGCACCTGTTTCAGTCCCCTTGTTTGATAGCCAATGTCTGATAAAAAGATCTATATTACAGAATAAACAATATTCTGTAATACAGAAAAATGGTTGTGATAACCAGGCTATGGACAGAAAAAACACCATCTTCTAAACTCATCTTCTTGAATAGTTTTTACTGTTATTTTAAAATGGAACTAAATGGTACTTTGTCTGCAGCTACTTCATTAGAAGGGAAACAAAGCCAGGTAATTCCTTATTCAAATCTGGAGACTTCCCTAGGAGCAAATGAACAGGTGACACATTCCTGCTGGGATCAGAACAGGTCTTGGTAGGTAATACACCTTTTAATCAAATATTCTTCCTTTTAAAATTCTAGCTGAACACAACTTCCCAGGACTCTTTCCAGTCGGAAAGATATCATAATAACTTGGCACCACCTGCGTACAATTTACAAAAATAGCAGCCAAGACATTAAGAAAACACAAGTGTGTGCGTGTGTGTATATGCACAAACACACAGGTATGGGGGAAACAAAATCTGTTACTCAGCAAGCTGCATTCTGTGCCAGCAAGATCACCCAATATTCATGCCCAAAGTTGAGTGTCACTCTTTATCTATTTTTTTAAAAAATAACGGAGATGGACCATTAAATGTAAAGTTTT